CTCCCTCTCTCTCTCTCTCCCTCTCTCTCTCTCCCTCTCTCTCTCTCTCTCTCTCTCTCTCTCTCTCTCTCTCTCTCTCTCTCTCTCTCTCCCCTCGCAAATCATTACTTGATATTATGCCTTTACTATACCGAGGCAAGGTGGCTAAAACAGTTTTGTTTGGTGTTCACGCTGTCAGAGTTTCTGAATAAAAATAGCTGGGGGCAATACCGGGAGCGCAACACCTCAGACTACCAATAACATCTACTCTCCGGCTCCTGCACCAATACATAAGCAGTTGGCTGCGGTGATGGGGACTGACAGTCCTTCCTGCACAGTGGGTGGTGACCTTTCTGTGGCGAGGAGATCCGAGTCTGGCGAGATGACGGCACCCCTGGGCACGGCCGACAGTTATCTGCCGCCTGGCCGAGTCAGATACTCAGAAATTGCACCACCAGGAGCGGTCCACCAGCGGTGTTATGAAGCTCCGCGCGCACTGGGTACCGCAACCTCGTATCTGAGCCTGGAGGGTAGGTGTGGGTTTGAGAAGCAACGATCCCAGCTAACAGGAAACGTTACTACAACGTTGTCACAACGTCGTGTTTCGGTAAGTTGCGAAATTACGTTTTAATTACGTTGTAGCAACGTTCTGAACGTTGTGAAGCCATGGTTTGGTCCGAAAGTCGTGGTAAAACGTCGTGACGACGTTTTATTGGTATGTTGCAGCAACCGCGCACTTGCAGCATTATATTTTGATAATGCATGGTGACATATATGGCCATATAATGCATTTCCTTTGACTTTCAATGCGCATATTCAGTTTTCATCGTTAAATTTGACATATTTTAACACTTGGACTGTTCACGTTGTCAGCTGGTGGTTTGCCAACACGTTGTTAAAACGGTTTTTCACAACCTTGACATTATAGGTACTGAATAATTAGCGGTGTTTTTACAAGTAAATTCCGATACCGTTCTCTCCCTATCTCTCTCTAATAGATATATATATATATATATATATATATATATATATATATATATATATATATATATATATATATATATATATATATATATATATATATATATATATATATATATATAACATATATATATATATATATACACATGTTATATATATATATAACATGTGTAAATTGGCATGTTTTGCAACATCACAGGCGGAGCTAGAGGCTTGCAACTATCCCTATGTAAACGCGGCTGTTATCCGCGGCTGCCAGCAAGCCACGCGGGCCGCCACTCAGGCGAACGGTGGCTCGCGCCCTGACCTCGCCTGAGGGGCCGTGACGTCAGTGTCACCGGCCGGCGTTCAGAGCCAGCCGGCCGAGCCCAGGCCCATGTCGTCCCCTATCTCCCTGTGTGTCCAAGTGCACAGATGACGTCACACGAAGGGGCGGAGTCGGGGGCGGAGCCTGGCGCAACGGCCGCCATATTTGAATTTGTTTTATCAGAATGTTTTCTGTATTTAGGGTTTCAGTCAATTGTTATCGATAGTTTTATGAACGGTTAGCTGTAATATAAGTGATTTATCAAGAAAAAACACATTCTGCTTGCAATTTCGATTTAAGTACGACCCGCGCCTAGATTCGAACACACGATCTTTGGATTACGGCGCAAGCATCCTAACCACTACACTACCGCGGCGGCGTGGCGGCCGGCGGAAGGGAGGCTGCGGAGGCATGGGGGCTTTTCTACGCATTTTTGGAAAAACTAATGGGTATAGTGAAAAACGCTTCTTAAATAATTCAAAGAAAAATGTCTCGGCTTTCCGATGATGCACTTAGTTTTGTGCTAGCTTTAGCAGAGTTTGTTCTACAGCGCTTCAAAAATCGCCCATTTGCATAGGACTTAAACGGGACTTCAAGACTTGCCCCCAGATGACGTCACGAGCTGACGTCACGATCAGGTAGAATCGCCGGACGATCCTACCTGGTATATAGGGCCTTGGCCGAGCCGCAGTCTACGCGGCGCGAGCGAGCAGTGAGGGCCGGCGGCGGGCGCGGCTGAGATAGCTGGAAGATGAAAGATAGCGCCAGTTGTCTGCGTTTGATGCGATTGTTGTTTTGACTGGTAAGTCAAAGTACCATTTACGAGTAGCATTTGCAATATTGTGCCTTGTAATATCGTGCGGTCTAGGCTATAGTTCATTGTAGCTCTAGCATCTAAGGTGTTGACATGTTTCAGTTTGATCTAGCCTGTCGCACTGTTACGGAAAGTGGTGCAGGTATTTTTGTGATTTTTTCATGAATAGAATGTCTGATTTTCCCTCATGTCTTCCCGCAGACGTCCTGCAACTCGTCAGCGCGCCTTGCGGCAGACCTACTGTCGGCAATGCGGTAGCGAAGTGGCTGTCCGGAAGCTGCGACCGGAACGGGGGGGTGCGCAGACCGTCTAGTCAGGCACTGCCAGCTGCCTAGGGACATCGAGGCCGCAAATGAGCCGGTGCCTAACGGTCCGCCGAGTGATCCTCCCAGCGAGGGTTAGTAAAGAAGTGAACTTCCACCAGTTCTGGCGTGCTAGCGGCTAGCGTCAGAGCCGGTAGAACCCAATTCCGTCCCACGCCCCCATGGGGGCGCCCCTGGGCCCCATGCCCCATCACCGATGCCGCCGCCGTCGTTTTGTTTGTTTGTTGTAAATTGACCTGTATGATGTATTGAAATATACACTTCTTACATGCCTTTTTTACAAGTCTAGAGAACGGGAAGAGAGCGTCGGAAACGCATTCTGAGTATGTTGCGAACACGTTGAGAGGGCGTTGCGAAAATGTTTAGGACGTTTACTCAGGGTCGCAGGGACGGCAATGCGAAGTAGCGACAACGTGGTGCGCACGTGATAAAAACGTCGCAGAGACGTTGCCAAAGCGTTCTATACTCCTTGTAGTCACGTTGCGGAAACGTGGTGACAACGTTCCAGAAACACTGTTGGTACGTTACAGAAAACATTTCATAACGTTGGCGGGACGTTGTAAAATGTAAGAACAGTTTTGGGACGTCACGGCCACGTTACAGAAACGTTGTGATGACATTCAAATGCATGGTCGGATGACGTTGTCACGCCGTTGTCTGGAGTCTACAAAATTACGTTGTCACAACGCTAAATCGGGACGTTGTGGTAACCATTTGACAACGTTTAAACGACGTTGTAACAACGGCAAATTGTTAGCTGGGATTATACCTCATAGGCGATGCAAGTCCACTGATAAGCTTACGTTGAAGTAATATGCAATTAGTCGACTCGAGACGACCAGTCGTGTGAACTGCATTCATTGGATAGCGCGATTCCGAATCGTGCGGTGCTAAGGTAATTGAAGTAATAATAGTAACGTCTAGGCCCCAATTCGCGGCCTACTGTGCAAAACAGCCCAATGAAACCTCGCATTGGAACTATATGTAACGTAACTTGCTAACATGGAACGTAATATGTAACATAAATATGAGCGCATAAGCCCGTTGGAAGCCTGTCAGCGATCTTTTTTCGGGAACCAATCACGTCCTAGCCCGGTTCATGTCAGCACGACCTCGCTAGGTCAACACAGGTTTCTAAGTAGTTCTATGAAGACATCGCCTCCCGACTCCCACACCAGGGTGCATCAGGTAAATCCTAGTCCACATATGCGACTGTGTCAAGTGTCAACAGTGCAGAGGCGCTGTCGAGCAGATATCGACCGCTGCTTCCGGCACGCCAGATGTCATTAATTATATCCGCTCCCGTATAAATAACAGACACGTCCCTGCACATCCCGCCGCGGACTTTTATTGCCCAATAACTCAATTTCACAGACAACTTTTGTCATCGTCCCGAAGGCTCGCACCGACAAAAGGTGGATGAAGAACGGACTCCGAGAGACAATCTGATCCTCCCACGGGCTTAGAACGCTCCCTGATAATTTCAGTCTCGAACTCTCGAGCGAATCTTTAAATATCGTAGAGATTTGCCGGACCCTGGCCAGAGGCTGCACTCACATGAAAGCTGAAAGAAGTATTATTTTTAATTGCACGTTATGTTCACAAAGATGCCTATTAAAACAACGAATGTTTCGGCCGAAACGAGTCGTGTTTCGGCGTGAAACGAGAGCTAAGGCCTCCTCTGTGCCCGTCTCAGAGCCCCTATTTTTTGGAGCAGTGCGTGGGAACAGGCGGCGGTTTAGTTAGACGTCTGCTCCCTAGGCTGGATGGGCAAACATTCGCAGTGGCAATGTCGTGTTCTATGACGCGCGAAATAACGCTATATACCCGGCTTGTGTACGTGAGCCCGTTTCTGCAGGAAACATCCAGCTATTTTCGGAATAAGCGTCAGCATTGTCGCGAGAACTGACGCGAGACGGCTCGTCAGGTCGTCAGAGAGGCCCAGTCCTGGTGAGGGAACATATGGGGCGTGCCTGGCAGTCTACCGATGCTACGGAGCCGTCAACCGTCGCCTCGGCAGACTGCCGAGAGCGATGGGACGACGTCGCCGCCGCCGTAGCTCTCGAACTGTCGGTGGGCAGAGCTACGTGAAATCACAGGCATCTCTCCCCTCTCTCTCAGCGAGTTCATCACGAATTGATCTCCCATCTACGGACATCGGGCATCGAACAACCAGGCTCGGCCAATCCTCTCCTGACCCGGCGACGGTGGCGCCGCCGGCGACAGAATGACGTACCAGCCGAGCCGAGCCGACTCGCCACTGATATTCCGCAGGCCCTGAGCTGTCAGCGGCTTTTTTCAACGAGGATATAATTACAGACGCCGCGAGTCAGCACAACAGCTAACGCCACGCCGGCCCTGATGAGCACCAACGAGAAAATCCGACTTGGCCGTCGCTCCGCGGCCACATCGGCATAAAACATTTTCGTTCCCGAAAAAATACAGCACGCACGCCGGTCAGAAAGCTGATCTGTCTCCGCCACCGCAGCGGGATAAAGTCACGCCGTCAGCACCCCGACGGCAATCACTGGCTGATTCCAGCTTTCCGCGGCTCCTCACATCATAAACTGGCTACCTCAGACGATTGGACTACAGCTGTAACAAACAGGTTTATTCGGCGGTGAGAGGGTACAATCGCTTACTACAAAACACCTCTGCTTGTCAGCGCGTATAGCTGCCGCGACACGTGGCACGTGGGCCCCAACAGGCGCGTGCCGTGCCGCTCCGGGCCGCACGTGCTGGACATCTGGTCAAATCGTACGAGGCTGCGGGAACGCCGACACACCAATAAATACAGCTCTGGCGGCGCACGGACGGTCTCTCTCTCCTCTTTGATCGATAGCTGGGTGACACCCCTCCCCACAGATAACAGCGACCCGGCCCCGTCCCCAGAACGGGACACCTCTGCCCCTCCCGGCCCTCCCCGGCGCCCGCCGCCGTAAGTAGGTAAAACAGCACAGTCGGCGGCTCGGGACGCCGCGCCGCCGCCGCGCCCCACCGCCGGACAAAGGCGGCGGCACCTGGAATGACGAGCTCGCTCTCCTGACCTCTCAGGAGACGCTGTAACAACGGGCGGCACGCGGCCGGCGGCCAAAACCGACCCGCCGGCCGCCGCCGTAAAACGCTCGCCCCGCCTGGGAGCCTAAGAAATCACCGTCCGTGCCTGCCGGGCGGCGATCGCTCCGCCGGCCGGCACAAACGGCCTGGTGGCGCAGAAAAATAGTCTCGCTTAGATTCTGAATGTTACAGGTTAGGTGTCGGCGCGGCCGGTGCGGGCCGCGGTCACAGCGCGCCAGGAATGATCCGTCTCCAGCGGCCGCCCAGCCGCTCAGAAGAACAATATCTCCTCGGAGTCGGCGGCGGCGGCCGGCGCCGAGCTGGGGGCCGGGGCGGGGGCGGGGGCGGCCGGCCGCGGCGGCAGCTCGGGCCGGCCGGCCGTGTGCGAGCGCGTCTGTACGGCGCCGCTGACGGTGGAGGTCGGCTGGCTGGTGGTCACCAGGTGTGTCACTGTTGTGGTGGCCGGCCGGCGCGGCGGCGTCGGCCGCGACGGCATCTTGGGGTAGGTGTTGGTGCGCTGGGCGGCCTGCCGCTGCGGCGTACCGCCACCACCGCCCGTCAGCCGGTGGTAGCCCGCAGAGCTGGAGCCGCCGCCGCTGCGGCCCGGCCGGTCCTGGCTGAGTTTCATGGGCAGCATCTGCTGGACGCCGGCCGGCGAGCCGCCCTGCTGGCCGGGCGCGGCGGACGGCGAGCCTCCGGCCGGCGGTGGCCGCCTAGTCTCTCCGCCGCCACCTCCCCCGCCGCCCAGTGCCGACAGCTTGGCCAGTTTCATGGGCAGCTCCTGTTTGACGGGCGGAGGGTGCGCGCCGGCTGCCGCCGCCGCCTTCTGCTGGTTGATGGAGCTCAGCAGGTGGGCCGGCAGCGGAGGCCCGTCCCGCCGCACCATCGAGCTGGAGGGCTTCAGTTTGGGCGGCGCCGGCCGGTTGGCGGCGGGCCCGGCCGCCCCGGCGGTGGTGGGCGGCGGCGCCGGGCCGCTCTCGTCGTCCGCGGAGGCGGGGGCGGCGGCGGGGGCGGCCGGCTGCGCGGTGGTCACCACCTGCAGGTTGGGCGACAACAGGATGCCCTGCGAGCGCAGCGCGTCCAGCTGGCGGTACAGCAGCTCCCTCTGCTGGCCCACGTCGCTCTGCTCCTGCCGCAGCTGCTCCTGTGGGCCGACGGACGAGGACGGTGTCAGATACAGACCGGGGTAGTAACAGCTAGACATCAATCAACGCTGGTAAGAAGAGAGCAAAACACATCTCCTAGACCGTCGAGAGCAGGGCTGCGGAGTCGATGGATTTTCGGCGACTCCGACTTCGACTCCGGCTTTCAAAAACCAGCTCCGACTCCGACTCCGACTCCGACTCCGGGCAGAATTGTCGACTTCGACCGACTCCAACTCCCGACACCGCAGACCTCGCAGAGCTGCGGAGTCGACAGATTTTCGGTGACTCCGACTCCGACTCCGGCTCGGGTTTCTAACATCGACTCCGACTCCGACTCCGACTCCGCAGCCCTGGTCGAGAGTATCGAAATTTATCCATCACCTAATCCCCGGCTGTCCGCCGAACGCCATAGAACCACTACGAAATTAAAATAATCGCACACATATGGAGCCCATACAGCGCGCCGGTGCGGTGTGGAAATCCCTTCACCTACCTACCAGATATGTTCCGACAACTAGCCCCGGCCACGCTCCGTACCTGCAGTTTGGCCAGCTCGGTCCTCTTGCCCTGGATCCACTTCTCCTGGTTGTCTCTGTCCTTGTTCCACTCGGTCTTTTCCTTGGTGAAGCGGTCCTGCAGGTTCCTGAGTTCCTCGAGCTTGGCGTTCAGCCGGGTCTCTCCGCTGCCGGCGCCGCCGCGGCCCAGAGCGCCGCCCTCCTGGACACAGCTCCTCAGTCTGAGAGGGGGAGGGGGACAGTCAGTAGGGGAGGGGAGCACGGTCACAGTCATTGGGGTCTGTCCACCCTCCTGGACACAGCTTTTCCGTCTGACGGAAGGAGAGGGACACGATCAGCGGGGCCCTCTCGCCCATCCCTCATCTTCATTCTTCTATTCATTTACCTAACCCTTAACCCGCGACCGCCTGGGGGGGGGGGGGTCGGATCCGAACCCCCTCCGTTTTTCTTGACTAACTCATGAACCGCTTGCGCTATCAACTTGAAACTTCGCATACCTTCTCCCCCATCAATTTGACGTCTCCTGTGCAATTTTTAAGAAAAAAAATTTCCAAAAAATTCTGAGATATATCGATTTTAGTGATGTAACTACATGGCGTTTTCAGTCAAAAAATGGTAAATGTTTAAAAAATCGCCAGAAATCGAGGTTTTGAGCAAATTGCAAATTAAGGACATGAAAAGACGCAGCTGAACGAGTTCTTTAAAATGGCTATCTCGGATTTTCCATAAAATGCGTTTTTCACCCCTAAAAACAAAAAAAAAACTATATTTTTTGGAAACAGCTAATAAAATCCAAAATTTTAAGAATTTCCAAAAAACCGGAATATATGTTATAGAGCTCTATTAGAACATTAGATGTCCCAAATTTCAACATTCTATCTTGATTTTTGACCCCCAAATTGTAAAAAATAGCTCCAACATGCATGCATGGTGACGTCATAAGAATTTTCGCGAATTAGAGGCACTTATGAACATCGCATGTGAAAACAAATGGCACCACTAGATTCCTGGGACAAAGCTCGTCTAGAAAAGTGCATTTTTATGTCAAAAATAAAAAGTTGAAAAATTGACTTTTTTTCTTAGCCCTCGTTTAGTTATGTATGGTATAAACGATTTTTTATGCTTTCAATGCACACTTATCACCAGCACAGTGACTTGGGGTCACATATAACCATTACCATCGGATTTGGCGTGAAAAATAACCCGCGCCCGGCTGGGGGTCCTGGATTTCCACGCCCTGCTGGGGGGGGGGGGTGTTTGAACACCCCCCCCCCCTTCTAACTCGGCTCCTGGGCCACGTAGCGATACGTGGAAGGCGGCGTTCGAAAGAGCGTCAAAAATAATGAGGAAATCACTTCGGTCAATTTTTTGGTCAGGTCAAAGGTCAGGTCACCAGAGGTCATTGAAGGCAAAATTTCGCCGATTTCCAGGTCGAATGTCGACAATTTCCAAGAAGCCAACGCATAACTCGGGAACCAATAGAGCTACAGCGCCGCGGAAAAGCGCATTCGATAGCCCTATTAGCGCCCTTTCTGAGTAATTTTCTCAGATTTGACCTAACGTCAACGGTTTTGCCTGCAGGGGGCAAAAACTGCAAAAATAGCCGATTTTTTTGGAAACAGTTTTTCTGCAATAACTTTTGACCCAAGCCTTGTACGAGCTTACTTTTACCGGCATCGTGTTCCTCTCGTCAAGACGCATCGAATGAACTATAACTTGACCTTGAAAGGTCAACTTGAAAATTTGACCTCAGGTCAAGGTCATGACCTGACCGGAAAGGGTCATGTTGCATATCAGTCGATCCGTATCGTCGAGCTGAACACATCTAAGACGTTTTCATCGCTCTAGCATGCCTCTATCAAAAGTTATTTGCGAAAAACTGTTAGATACCATTCGTGACCTAAGATGACCTCAGGGCATAAACAGGGGTCACGGACACCATTTTCATGTTCAGTGTGTCTAAACCACTTGTAATTCAGTGTTTGGGAGCGTTTATAATGTCTTTCGTCCAAAAGAAGCGCATTTCAATTTTCTCCCATTGACTTATAATGGGGAGGTCGCAAAATTGACCTGACCTTAGGTCATCGATGTCAAAATTCTGAGATATACATTTTGTACATGCTATTGCTCTTAGCAATCGCTGAAAGTTTCAAAGCGATCGGTCACTCGGTGTAGCTATGACAGACATTGAAACTTTTTATGAGGTGAGGTCACTTCAAGTGACCTGGTGACCTGACCTTGAATGACCTTGGTTTGAAATTTTCACAACCCGTGTAGAATTGATGTATGATAAGGTGTACCAAAAACGGCGGCGCTCCGCGCCGCCGTTTTTGAGATATTCGCGAAAAACCACAAGGGGGGGTGTTCAAACCCCCCCCCCCCCAGCAGGGCGCGGGATAAGCGATAAAACATGTGTCGCACGCCCATGTAGCAGAAAGTGAAAACCGTGACCTTTCGTGACCTGACCTGACCTTGAACCGTACTTAGTATGACCCCTATACGCACATGGTACCTTCACTAGGTCTTTGAGGTCATTTGTGGTGAGTTTCGAGCAGCAGCTATCGATTCCGCTGTCCGTAAGCCTAATCATGCAAAACCCCTGAATTTGACCTTTGACCTGACCTTGACCCGAAAGTTGACCTCAATCTTAAAATCTTAAGAGTGCTTTGGGAAGGTCTCGTAGAGACCTTTCGAACGCCGCCTCGCGGGGCTCGATACGACCATTGGTTCTCGAGATAACAGGGGGGGGGGTCGGATCCGACCCCCCCCCAGGCTGATGTGGGTACGGAAATAGCCCAGGCGGTGCCGGGTTAACCCGCGCCCCAGTGGCGGTCTCGGCCAACTTCGCCCTAGTGAGGGGGGGCATATGTTACCACTCACCTCTAACTCAAAAACTAAGAGGGCTAGAAAGACGCAGTAAAAAGCAGTCGATAGCTCTCAATGCGTACGTTTGAAAGTATTTCGGTCATTTTTCACCTTAGAGCAATATTAGGGTCACCAGAGGTCATCAAAGGTCAAAATTTGCCAATTGTCATTATATTTTTCAGAAAACATGCCGCTATCTCAGGAACTATGGTAGCTAGAAAAACGCATCATAGAACAATCGATAGCTTTTGAACTCTTCTTTTGTAAAGGTCATTATCAATATTGACCTTAGGTCAACGGTTTAGCCTCCAGAGGGCAAAAACTCCAAAAATAGCTGTTTTTACGAAAAGTGTTTTTCGCCAATAACTTTCGACTACAAAAAGCCACCACATTTCTATTGCCAGAATCGTGTTCCCCTCACCGAGACGCGTCGAATGAACTATAATTTGACCTTGAAAGGTCAACTTGAAAATTTGACCTCAGGTCAAGGTCATGACCTGACCGGAAAAGGTCATGTTGCATATCAGTCGATGCGTCTCAACAAGAAAAACACAATGAGACCATCCCCAGCGTTCTATCTCTTTCCAATCGCGAGTTATTGGCAAAAAACTGTTTGTAGCCTCAAATGACCTCGGATGACCTTTCTAGAGGCTATCAGCAAAAATGACACCTTGGTCATCACGAGTGGACTAAATCATTGTAATTCTGAAATATTTGGACTGTTCCTATGCGTACACACGGATCTAGAGGCATTTTCATTTTTCTCCATTGACTTGTAATGGAAAGGTCATGCCACTGACCTGACCTTAGGTCACGGATATAAAAAATCCGAGATATACAAATTGTAGGCACCCATAACAGCATGCAATCCACCAAGTTTCGAACCTTTCTGACAAACACTGCAGGCTGGACATGATTGCAAACTTTTTTTAAGGCTTGGTCAGTTAACTTGACCTGATGAGCTGACCTGACATGACCTGGGGTCAAAAATTTCACACATTGTCCAAAATTGATGTACCAAAAGCTACCCCAAGCGGCGCGGCGCTACGCGCCGCGGTTTTTTATTCACACGCAAAAAACGTGACAGGGTGGTAACATATGCCCCCCCCCCCCCCCACTGGGGCGAAGGTTAACCCCGTTAGGTATCCACGGTTACGCTGTCACGGCCGTCGACCGGCCCCTCCCAACTTTCCCAGTTACACGGGCATCGTACTCCCTTACTCATTAAATAACAACTCCAAATGACACTGGCCGGTCATCCACACAGCCCAACCGCCGACAGCACCCCAACTCCACTCCTCTGAAACGAGTCAGTCTCTCAGTGGCACTCACAGCTCGACATTATTTGCCGACTGGGATATGACGCAGAGCATGGTCGACAGCGAGCGGTGCATCTGCAGCGCCGCCAGCTGGAACGCCTCGCTCGACAGCACCGGTGACGCCTGGCGACAGAAAACGGAACTCGTAGTACAGAGAACAAGGAACAGATCTATATAATATCGTAGGTATCTAAAAACACAATCAACATGAACAGACCTTCGATTTCTCATCTCCCAGCTCATAATGATAGACCTTTCAATCCCGACCAGACTCGTGTAACCATTATCCGACCCTGGCTGACGCTAGCTGTACCGACCTCTGGAGTCACCCGGCCGGGCCTCACTGACCTGAGTCCGGTTGGGCGCCGGCTCCTGTGGCTGCGGCTGCGACTCCTGCTCCTTCCCCGGCTCCTGAGCGAGCTCCTGGTCCTCAGCGGCCTCGTCAATGTTATCCTCGCTCGGGTCACGGCGCTTCACCGGTGCTGCGGGCCATCAGGTCACAGGAAGGTCACATCGAGCCCTCAGGCATGTTTTTAGTTTAGTACTGCCTGAGGCACGGTGAGAAGGCATCAGTCACTTCTTTGGGGCGAGAAACCAAAATAGAGTCAAATGATAAAAATAGAGTCCCGTAGCCAAATCACTGATAAACCACTCCTTCCTCTCCTTCCCGTACAATGAACTACTGCCCTATGGACTCTAACACGGAGAACGCAACAAAACCCCCACAACAGAACCCCTATCGTGCCGTCCCTGCACCTACTGGCCGCGCTGTTGTCGAAGCCGGCGAACGTCTCGGCTCGTTTGGGCAGCATGGGCGACACGTAGTCGTTGCTGTGGTGTTCTCCCACCGAGCTGGCCGACCGGGCCAGCGCGCCCTGGGCCGGGAACAGCAGCGGCGCCAGCCTGACGACACGGGGGGTTGGTTGGTGACTTATACGGTAGAGGAGCTGAACGTAGAGGGAGGAGAAGAGAAGGACGAGAGCACGGTCACGGAAATGTTAGTTGTCGGGACAGGACAGCGATAGAAACTGGGGCAGGGGAAACGTTCACATTATGATGGAATGAATGCATGAAAAAAATAAAACATATATCCCAACTGACAACTGGTTAGACGACAAAAGGTGTCGTTCATGGGTACGGAACACATCCCAGCGTGGCTTCGTAGCGAATGCGCCCTCCAAACAACATTGAGACAGAAAACAGGACTTGATGTCTACCGACCGGGGTATCGGAAATCAAACAGCGCACTTTGATTGGCGTTTGCTGCCAAACTGGTCAACATGGGTGGAACGCCCGCACGGCTGCCGAGTTTAGAAACGTCACGAACGCCCGTAAAAACGCCGATTTTAGATACGTCCCGAGTGCCCTCAGTGATCGAATAAAGACAAACATGTTACTGCTGGTGAAATATGCCCACAATTTTCATTAACTAATTAGTAAGAATTAGTTCATGAAGTTAATTAGAAATATTACACCCCTCACCAGGTAACTAGAGATTTATTTCGGGATCCCGGGATCCCGGGATTCTGGTCTTGTCACTAAAGGTCGTAAGAATGATTTCCTACTGACATATTTCGCGTCTTTTAGCTTACCACAAACAAAGAGGCAACCAAAAGCCATCCTTAGAGCATGTCATTTGCATTAAAAACGATTGAATTTTGCGAAGGAAACGTTCCGATTTGATTAGCATTTCCCAATTGGTCTTAATAAAACTGTGCGTCGACCAGTGCGTTTACAATCTCGTCACAAAGACGGGTTCAAGCACATCCAGGCCTCACTACCTCTTCGTCTACGCTACTCGTAGTAAGCACGACAGTTTTAAGCCGTTGCTGGTAGGTCTGTCTATCTTAAAACTCGCGACCAGTGTACACCAAATTTGGCAGCTCCCTATTTCACAATATTTTCAAGACGTCGCTTGGTCAATTCACCTCCTTCCGGTTCCGCTTTCATCACTAATGTCTCTCAGACTTTGCTCCAAAGTCGCTTTGAGGGCAGAGTCACTGACTGGGAGAGCTCCACTCTACCGTCTTCAACGTTTGAATCAGTGAGCTCTGCCGTCACTTGCGTGACATCTGTGACATCTTCCTGCGACACGAGCTCAAAGACTGTCTTGATGACCTCTTTTGTTCCGGCCACGGACGGACAAGTCAGAATCGCTGAACGATCCGTGATCCTGATAAAGATGTTGCAGCACTGATGCTGCAATTTGTTTTGGAGTTTGGGACCCTTTTTCGTACACATTTAAGCGGGCAGCGGCTTATCCGCTGTGGGTGATACCCGGAAGCTGCCAACACGGTCGATTGTGGACGGCCGATACGGGGTGCCACCTAAATAGTTTCTCTGCTTTATGTCACGCAGCACCATGAACTGTGTAAACAAGACTCGTGCAGCGACTGCATTCTTTTTATGGTAAAAAACTGATTTTTGGGGGATCCCGGGATTGGCGGGAATTTCGGGATCGGGATCGAAATTAAAATCCCGCCGGGATCCCGGGATCCCGATCCCGGGATTGCAATCTCTACAGGTAACCTCTTGCATGCCCCCCGCCGTCTCGCACCCTTCCATCACCCCCATCCTCTTTCTCCCCTCCCTCCTCTCTCACCTGGTGGCCTCCTGTACGGCGGTCTGCAGCATCTGTCGCGCCTCAGTCGGCTCCAATCCATCGTCCACCAGATGTGTGCACGAGAAGGTCATCGAGCCGAGCGCCGCCTGCAGTCGCTGGTCGTCCGGCTGGATCAGCTCCACGATATCCGCCTGGATGCGCAGCTTCTCCTCACAGAGCAGCGCCATCTGCAGGTCCTTGTCCTTGAGTAGTTTACTGAGCTGCCGCACCTGTGTGAGCTGCGCCTCGGACTGGGCGCGGGCCTCCTCACCGTCATTGGCGTCCACAGAGTCGTACGGACACTGCTTCACCGCCTCACTGCGGGGAGGGGGGGGGGGTTAGTGGGGGGTCGTACGGACACTGCTTCACCGCCTCACTGTGGGAGGGGGGATGGTGGTCGTACGGACACTGCTTCACCGCCTCACTGTGGGGAGGGGGAGGGGAGGGGTTAATGGGGGGGGGGGGAGTCGTACGGACACTGCTTCACCGCCTCACTGTGGGGGAGGGGGGAGGGGTTAATGGGGGGGGGGGGGTCGTACGGACGGGTCCGTATCAAAGCGTCCAAAACCGCAGCACCCAAAGTACGCAACATCCAAAACCGCAGCGTCCAAAGTACGCAACGTCCAAAATACGTCCAAAATCGGGTTTATAGGGGGCATTCACAAAGTCCAAAACCGAAACATCCAAAACCGCAACGTCCAAAAACGTATCATCCAAAAAACGCAACATCCAAAGACGCAGCATCCAAAGTACGTAACCTCCAAAACCACGACGTCCAAGACCACGACATCCAAGGCACGCAACATCCAAAACTAACCTAACCTAACCTAACCTAACCTAACCTACTTATTTTTGCCTATCCCTAACCCAACCTAACCTAACCTAACCTGATTTTGCCTACCGGGGATAAGGAAACCTAACCTAACCTAACCTTACCTAACCTAACCTAACCTGATTTATGCCTACCGGGGATAAGGAAACCTAACCTAACCTAACCTAGCCTAACCTAACCCAACCAAACGGTTTTGGATGTTGCGTACTTTGGATGTTGCGTACTTTGGATGATGCGTCCTTGGATGTTGCGTTTTTGGGTGATACGTTTTGGATGTTGCGGTTTTGGATGTTTCGGTTTTGGACGTTGTGAATGCTCCCTATATACCCGATTTTGGACGTATTTTGGACGTTGCGTACTTTGGACGCTGCGGTTTTGGATGTTGCGTACTTTGGATGCTGCGGTTTTGGACGCTTTGATGGTCCCCCGTACGGACACTGCTTCACCGCCTCACTGTGGGGAGGGGGAGGAGGGGTTAATAGGGGGGGGGGGTCGTACGGACACTGCTTCACCGCCTCACTGTGGGGGGGGGGGAGAGGGGGGTCGTACGGACACTGCTTCACCGCCTCACTGTGGGGGAGGGGGAGGGGTTAGTGGGGGGATGGTCTTACGGACACTGCTTCACCGCCTCACTGTGGGGAGGGGTTAATGGGGGGGGGTAGTGGGGGGGGGGGGGTCGTACGGACACTGCTTCACCGCCTCACTGTGGGGAGGGGGATGGGTTAGTGCGGGGTGGGGGATCGAACGGACACTGCTTCTCCGCCTCACTGCGGGGAGGGGGGAGGGGGAGGGGTCAGGGGATGGTGGTACACAGGATGGAGCGTTATTAACTGGTGAGTGGCGGGGAGTGATGATGGATTTGTACGAAAACACCAATATGGGGCGCTCCCCGAGTGAAATAACGCTGGTTGAACGAGCCTCCGCGTCGGTCATCATACAAATACAGCGGCACAACAACATTTCATACGCACCTCGCCGTCGCCATCACGGGCGATAACAGACGACACACTAAACGTGGCACAAGGCTGAGCGGGAGCGGGAAAACATGTGTTCGAAAAAAAGGTGACGCAGGTCCTGAAATGGGATCGACAAAAAAAAAACTACTGCAATTACAAGACTAAGGGTGATCATTATTGATGGCGTAGAAATCAAAAATTGTCTTGCACCAAAATTCATCTCCTTTTTCCACAGTATGACTGATGCGACTCCAGGGACGTAGCTGGAAGACCGTTGTGAAGTGCCCCGGATTTATCATTTGGATCACTAAAAAGTCGATATATGACTCAAGCCACACCCAGCCCGTTCCACCGAGGTCGCTATAACATATTCTTTCTCCTCCGACAAGTTAAGTCTATGGATGATTTTAATTGACCATCAGAGTGATCGCCTAAATCCAACGTCCCAACCCTACCGACCGACCACAAAAGGAGCCATCACGGCGCTTCACAGAGGCCCTATCGAGCCACCAGATCCAAGCCCATCAGCGACGTCCGCCGGAGCGAATCAGACGAACACGACACGCCGAAACATGTCACGGTACGGACACGCCACGGGTATGACCCACTCTGTGCCACCCATACACGGCAGGGGAGAGTAGAGATAAACACAACACGATGGAGCATATGGCAATACGATAAACACTGCATAACAAATCGTTCACCACATCGCATATGAGCTCATCACGTAACACATGTAGCATCCTTCCGCAGATCATCTGAGAATCATCAGAGAAGCATACAACCCTTCAATCTGTCCGCCCAAAAAGACGACAAACAACCCAGCGAGGTTCGGCGTCGACCATGACCCACCTGATGGACTCCATCCAGATGCGTTTGTCCCTCGGCATAGTGCAGTCCATCTCATACATGCCCGGCTCGTTCAGGTTGGAGATCAGGTAGATGCCCCGGCTGTCGCCGCCAGCTTTGTCGCGCACCAGCAGTCGTTGGAGGGAGACCACACCGGCCTGTCCGGGGAAGGGGGAGGGGGGAGGGGGTCAGCGGAGTACGGTGTCAGTGCGGTGTCAGTCAGTACTGTCAGTATGACAGTCAGTCAGTCAGTACTGTCAGGTCAGTATTGAGGGCCAAGAGGGGAGCAGAGAGATAAAGACAGAAAAAGGAAATACTGTACGGAAAGAAGCAAACGCAAGGAAAAATTAAAAACAGAGGCAAAAATCGAGGAAAGAGAGAAATATGATTTGTCAAGAGAAAGTCCTGAACAGCAAAGCCGAGAGCGTTCAAAAGGCATTCGGCTTTCTACATTGTTTCTATCTCAGGAAAGCAAATCAAGCCTAACTTCTTCAGCAAACACTACCGAAATACAGTGCCGAAAGATAACTTCGTTATAATGGAGTAACACAAATTGCAACAAAAATAGCCAGCTTGGCTGTTTGGCGGCATAAATTTAAAAGTCGGCGGTTCTCCCGGCAAGTTTGTTAATAATCGTCTCGGTCGCGGGGAATCTCTTACCACCACCAGAAGCCACCGCCCCAAAGAAGCGACAAGCAACCAGCAAGTGCCGGGCGATGATCCGATCTTCCCAAAACAATGCCCTAGTCTGAGTAGTCAGCCCATGATTCCCACGAGCCGCTCCCAGTAACACAATAATCTGCAGGTACAATACCGGCAAACCACCCCGACCATATTGTGATTATGATACACAAGTACTCATCAACTCAGCGTCCATCTGAGACGGCAGTGACCGAAATGGACGACCGAGCGTTGTCAGCGTCCCAGACAGCTCTTACATAAACGCACCGCCAGGCGGACCGACTGCACAAATCAGCCGCTGCCTGTCCGATTGGCCCGAAATCGCGCCGTAAACATGGGAGCCCGGCCTGATAGGAAAGCATCACACGCATATGCCGAGACCATTTCGAAAAATGGTGGGCTTGTTATTGAAAAGCTCAGTCGGCTAAGAGAGGTTGAGAAAGGGATGGCAGCTACATTATCAAAACAAATAGGTTGACTTATCAATCACACCACATTCTCTTATAGCAGCACATCAACCTGCCTGCAGGCACGCAAGCATTCAGAGCCTGATACCCTCCCGGCGGCGTTCCTCACCTTGCCCTCCTGGGAGACGAAGTGGTACTTCTGGTTACTCTCCTGCAGGAAGAACACCACGTCCGACATGACGATCACCTGCACGAGCAGCGGCCGGCCGCGAGCCTGCATCAGCGCCGCGCTGCCCTCGAACCTACGGAAAAAGACGGGCATGTGACAGGTTTGACAAACTTTAGTTTTGAGAGCGCGCAGTCTGCACGGGTCAGTGGTACCCATAGTGAGCAGTTCAGATCGTCCACTATCGTATTTGAAGTCCACGACAGCGTCCTAGTCGCTGTGTTTATGTGTGCGTGCGTGTGTCGATCGCGTACTGCTCCGTTTACTACACGTATGCTGAGCAGGGTGAAACGCAAACAACTGAACTGTGGCAGCAGATGGTCAACATTGTCCATGTTGCTTCAGTGTTCGGAAGTGGCCAGTCACTCCTTGAACAGTTAGGCAGGAGTAAGTCAGCGGGATACATTCTGACCATTTCCAGTCTAATCGTGTCGCTGTCAACGTCAAAACATTCCGCCCATATGCCGAAAACACCAAAACAGTCTACGGAACAGATTTTCCTCCGACAGTCGCCAGAGCGACCTCACAATCTCAGTCCGATTTCGGTGAAACCACGGAACGATCTCCGCCGCCACGGGGATGCCCCGTAAATGTCACCGATGTTCTGAATGCACGCTGGATGCAAATACGACCTTGTGTCGCAGCTGAGATGCATAAAGCAGTGCTGGCCGCCGCGCGGGGCCGGCGGAGCCCCGGGGATCGGGGCGAGATGTAGAGCCGCCGAGCTCGGCCGTTAGCCGAGGAGTCACAGATCTTCATCGGAGCAGTGGGGCGGCTGTTATTTCGGGCGGACGAGCCGGGGGTTCCTGCAGATCGCTGTTTACGGCGCCCGGGTGAGCCGAGCAGCGCCCGATCGACACACACATACACATAAACACAGCGGCGAGGAGCGTACTCGCGCGAGGACTCAGTCAGGAACAGGAAAAGGAAAATGAAGACGGTCTCTGCTCCGTCAGTAAAAGGACTAAAGGGCGGACAGAGGGGGAGAAAGTAACAGGCGATAAAAGAGCGACAGACTGCGGTAGACATTGAACAGGCATGATAAACAGATGAGAAACTATAGTCTGGCAAACCTAAGAAAGAATGGATTTAAGGTGCTGCGGCCGTTGATGCATGTGCATTTATATTGTGAGAGCATATTTTCTCTCACAATTTTTCACCCGAACAATGCATTAGCCATTACAAGTGACCAAAACACGCGCAAAGTGCTTCAGGACGTGCTTTAACTTCGTTCTTTCTTAGGTTTGCCAGACTATAGCCAGGGATCATCACATCTGCAAGGCCAGGACGTGCGAGCACCTGCAGATGATGAAATCCGCCCATGAGCAGCTGATGAAATGAGCTTTTATGGAACGCGTGGAATGAGAACATATTTACTCGGCTCCGCGGCATTGTCAGGAGTTTCACAACAGTGTCGTCACCGGCGAAGGTGTCCGACCGTAGCGTAAGTCGTAGTTACTAGTTGGACGTGCGTCATATTGATGATTTCTGATATGCTGGCCTCCACAATATGAATCAGCCATATCTAAGAGAAACATTACTTCATATCTCGAGCGCTGACGGACCCAAATATTGGAGACGAGGACAGCTGCTCAATAAACAGCGCTCCGAGACCGCACCGTTGGATTACGTGAGCGCGCCTGTGGCAGCAAACAAACGGCCTTTGCGCACACCTCCCCGGAACACGATCTCATTATCGTAAGGCGAACAGACCACCGCGAACCGTCAATTAGCGCCTCCTGCCCGTCTCCGCAGCAACTTACATGAGGCGTCGGTTGCCGCTGAGCAGATCCGACTTTTTGAACTTCTTGCCCTTGTAGAAGGCGGTCGACTTGGCGTCAATCTTGTTGTAGATTTCCAGGAGCCGCGCCTCCTTTTGCTTTTCCGCCACCTGAGCATTCACGTCTACCAGGATCTCCTGGAAAATGGTACGCGCACCGCGTCAGGGCGGCGAAACAGCTACCGTGGCCGTTAGTCAGATTAGGAAAAACAAACAAACAGCAAGCAAATAAACAAACGGAACGGGTGGCAGTCGCAGAGTCGGCTTACGGCTAAATTGACCATGGAAGAGAATTGAAGCTACGTTTGACAGCTTTAGACGATCGCCGTAAAATGTTTTAGCCTTTTCAATTGGTTTTCTTTGGTCGTGGTTTAAAACATAATGCAAGGCAAAAATGGAATAGGATAATGGTCTAGATAATTACAGTTGGTTTGCATTTCACTGAACTACTACATCACAACACCGGTAGTGGTTACAGTTGCTGCTCGCGTCTCGTCTGCCTGAAATGGGAGCGCCCGCATTTTATCATGCAGTAGGTACGCACCAGGCCCTGAATAGTTCACAGCCAAGGTCGAGTCGATCGCAATCCAATAAATTATGCCACAGGCGAAGCACACCACCAGAAGATGTACGTACATGCGTGTTACGGTCATGCTAAAATTCAGAAACACTCAATTTAAGATGACAGAATCTTGTCACAAATTTCTAGTAGAAACCACTTTTCCGTAAACATACTCATATCCTATGAAATTGCGCTTGTTACAGTCATATCAGTGAGCTGCCGCTCTCACCCGCACGCCCTCCTTCACCAGAGTGCGCTCATTGTCCCTGACTCGTCCTTACGGCTTGGGTTTATGAACAATGCCTTGACCCGAGCGGGTCATATACCTCTACAGCGCGCGTGGTCCCACCCACCACCCCGCCGCTGCGGCCAGCCCCACTGCGTAATTCTGCATCGCAGCTTTACTGCCAGCTCGGCGATAAAGGAAACAATAGTGCCCCTCCCGCGGGCCACGCCCGGTGACCTACAGACTCGGGCGGGGGTCGGACAAAGCCGCGGCGGCTCAGCGGCCGGGCCGGCGCGCCGCTGCTGACACTGTCCGCTGACACCGCCGGTCGCCCCTCCCCGGTCCTACAGCTCAGCACCCCGCCCCTCCCCGGTCCTCCTACAACTCAGGCCGGCACCCCGCCCTCCCCGGTCCTCCTACAACTCAGCACAGTGCCTGCCCCTCCCCGGTCCTTCTACAGCTCAGCATAGCACCCCACCCCTCACCGATCCTACAGCTCGGTACAGCACACCCCACTCCCCCACCCCCACCGCCTCTCCCCAGTCCTACAACTCGGCACGGCACCGACAAAGGAAGACCGTCGCGGCCCGGCGATATTAAATACCGACCATCCCCGACGCACCAGCAACGCTAGACAAGGCCACATGAGCGCTCCTATATCGACAGGAAGAGCGTGACGGCAGGTCAAACAGCCCCCGACTAACCATCTCACCCAGGAGTGATTCCCGTTTATTCACCCACCGTAAATACCTTCGCTCCCGCCCACCAGCCAGAATGTCTCACCCCCACCAGCGCCGGCCGCCACCGTTTCCGTTCGTACCTTGACCAGCTGTAGCGCCTTGGTGAGGTTGGTGATCTCGTGCTCCTGGTCGCGGCTGGTCTTGATGAGTGGCTCGATGAGCAGGGGGTACTTGGTGACGCGGTGGGTGACGAACAGGATACACTCGGGCACGCCCTTCTTCTTCAGCAGCGGGTGCAGGCTGCAGCGTCGGATAAACTCCTGGAATCTGAGGCAGGGGAGACGGGAGCGGTCAGACGGAGGTAACGCAACACGAGTTCAGCCTGCACCCACCGGGCCGCGTAAGTGATAAGCAAACAGAGATTGTAACACAGGAAAAGGCAGGGTGGTGGCAGCGCAATACAATTGACATATTTAACAACTAAAATATGACAGTTATATAAAGGAACAGGAAACATCAAATGGATCACATAGCACCGTTTAAGCCGTTTAAATATCAGCAGTTGGTGAGTCGTGTGCCTCTTCCCTTAATTCACTGGCAAATGTTTTGGGAAAAGCAGACTTAGACCCCCCAAACAACAGCTCGTTTGGCTTCTAAAACAGCACACCATCCTGAATAAATGACTAATCCTTCAGCGTAGCCGTTGCACGACAAACAAAACCAGTTGGTAGCATGTGTCAGGTAACGGAATACTGTGGCAGTAGAACACACAATCATATAAGCCCTGAAGTAGGTACTCATCTACTTGTTTCGGAAGCGAATCTGGCGAAATTCGCGACTCAAATGATATTGAGAAAGATAACCACACCCACCGCCCCAAATAATCACGGCTGACTGGCTTAAAACCAGCTTTAGAGGTAGCTAGTGAACTCGGATGAGTTACAGTAGAAAACATCTTCCAAAAAATAACACATTCGTTTACGCCTTAGGGCAGTTCAAATATTTTCAAGAAGCGGGTCTGAGATCAAATTGACAACTTTCTAGCCCCACGATCCATCAACACAACTTCCCCGCTATTATTTACCAAAGTGAGACAATCCTGCCAAAAGCCTTCGCCGAAATCGTATGTCTTCATACGACTTAAGAAACTTTCAATGAGTTAACAACTGAGTTGAGACTTGAGAGCAACAAAAAGCTTCCGATTCGCGGTCAGAAAAGAACGGACCCAACTGCACAAAATCACTCAAAACTTCGCCACAACCCAACATATAACCCCAATTACGACACGACTGGTCTGACAAGCGATCCATCGGCATTATCTTTTCACAAAAGCAGGCAAAACAGCTTTCAGTTTCAAATGGAGCTGAGAAGAACCAAACCATCCGGCAGTGTTCCTGGAATTCCGACCATATTCGGAACCCTGCATGTCATGAACGGCACAATAACATCTAGCTTATGTATACAAAGAACGCCAATGTCCTAAACTTTTCACGCCAGATATGCTTAAATGAAATGATTCAAATGAATATAGAAAGACAACATACTCGCCACTCATGAAGGTTTATAGCCTGAAATAGTCAGTCAGTGGCACATGACTTAGCATTCCTCACCAGATACCGTTGGTATGCGCAAATGGCCTCGTCTTATCGTAGTTGGCATTTGCGGAAGGTATCAGTATTCAGTGACATTTATCTGTTGAGAGGCTGCAATATAGTGCAACGTGCATTCTGCTCGAATGAAAGAATCCAACTCATTCCCAACGGGGGCAGCAAATAACACTGCAACTTCACACCATTTCCACGAACCGTAAACGTAAAATTAGGGAAAAGTGATACGAGCAAAGCTAAGCATAAGAGGTTAGTAAACACGGCCAGGGGTATTTGGTAAGACGTTAAATTGGAAAGCATCCATACCAGGAGCCCATAGAGAATTAATGTTGGCTTTGATGTTGTTGTTAACTCGCCGTTTATAGCAGACCGCTTTTTGGCTCGGCGGGTTTCGGGAGGGGTCGACGCTTTCTGATACTAACTTAATTGGAGAGGCGCCTTTGATTTAAGCTTTTTGCTTTTGCGCCAATCCTCTATTGTTTTGTTCGTTGTTCTTGTTTATATTTGATAAAATACAATGAACTGATCTGAACTGAACTGAACCGCAGGGAACTACTACCAAGGGCAGAACATGAGGTAATCGTTACCCATAGCAGGCGACATGGGGACTTCAACCACAAACTTAACGCCCGAAGTATTCGCTAACGCTCGTTGAAACACCCTCGAGACACTTCTGTGCAGTGACACCACGAGAAAGTTCCAAGACTGCACAACCACTCCACACGCAGAAACGGCCTTTTACATCTCCCCTCACTCCTCCATACTACACAAACACACACACCCGGTCACACACGTCGCATTACCCCGCCCCACCTACCTTCGATCCGCCTTCAGCATGTCCTTGTAGAGCGCCACACTCTCCGTGTGTTTGGAGCAAAACTCGCCGTAACAGTCGCGCATCTTGTCGCCAATCTCGCCGCCGAAATCGTCCAGCAGCAGGTCACCAAACTCCTCCACGTAGAGCGAGCGCCGCTGCCGCTCGCGCAGGTGACGCAGGAACGTCATGTGTACGGCGATCAGGTCGTCCAGCCGGGGGAAGAGCCGGTTGACCATCTCTGCTGTGTAGCCCAGCTCCTTCCGCATGCCCTCAGCGAACACCTGGCGGGGGGGGGGGTAACATCACATACCCTCAGCGAACACCTGGCGGGGGGGGGGGGTAACATCACATACCCTCAGCGAACACCTGGCGGGGGGGGGGGGGTAACATCACATACCATCAGCGAACACCTGACGGGGGGGGGGGGGGGGTAACATCACATACCATCAGCGAACACCTGACGGGGGGGGGGGGTAACATCACATACCATCAGCGAACACCTGACGGGGGGGGGGGAGGGAGGGAGTTACGCTAGGGAAGCAGGCTCAGGGTAATATCAGACAGCCATGCACGGACACGGATTTCGGGTGGATAAGGAATCGCGTTAGCTCAGGTGCCAATACCGCACCACCATATTCTTCCGCAAGAATCAGAGCTGAAAGAAAAGGATATGCAACCGTATGCAACCAGTAAGCCAGCGCTTATCGGATATCATTCAAATGCAGTGATGATCGTATTCATTAAGAAGGCAAAACGAAAGAATAATACCAACAACCAAACGCTCGTGATTAGCTAGGCACGCCCATGTCTCGCCTATGCCGGTGTTTGCCGCCGCAGCTCTGTCCGGTAGCACTGCGGCCCCCGCCCCGCTCTCCCCTGCCCGGTAGCGTCGCGGACCCTCCCCGCACTTCCCTGCCCGCACCGGTCCCAGGTGCGCCGCCGGCCCGACCGCCGTGCCACCATCAATATTGGCCGCACGGAGCCGGCCGAGCAGACGGTACTTGTGTGGAGACGTGCCCCGCCCCGCGCCGCGCCGAGCGGGCCGGGGGGGGGGGGGGGCTACCCAGTGGGCAGACCATGGGCGAACTCGCTACCCATAGCAGACCGCCGAGAACTACTACGTCTACTACCCAGGGCAGGTCATGGGGAAATCGCTACCCAGGCCACACCACATGGGGATTAGTCACGTGGGGACTGGACTAGACAGACAACGTCCCCATGGCAGTTCAGGGATGTCTATCGTAATCCGCTACCTCAGAATACCAAGGACGTGTTGCTAAAAGATATACATTGCACCACCGCACCAACCGAATAACACAAATGAGCCCTACCGTCAACCAACTAATCGTACCATGTGAGCCAGGCCTAAGCCAATAATCCCACCTCACTGAATAATATCGTAACTCATCCTCGGGCAAGCCAACTGTTAACGTCCCAAGCACAGCGTGTCAATCCGGGACGAATAGCGTGTTCGCACTGCCGTCGAATCGAATCGGGCCAGTACGTACTGTGACGTGAGGTCGGCGAAATGAACCCGTCCGCTCGTACCGCGGTGAAATCGAACGACAGAGAGGAGAATCGAACGATCGATACCGTACGGGCGAGCGGAGCCCGCGGAGAGCCAGGCACGGCCGTCGTCAGTAAGCCCCAATGATCATTGCAGCCGCCACAGGACAGTAAAGGGCAGTGTCGATCACATGGTGTCGGTCGGCTGGTGGTCGGTAACACAACAGTTAACGGTATGCCAGCGTTTAGGGACAGGGAGAGTAGGTACACTCGGGGGCAGATTGATGTTCCACCACTCCCTACCCGTCAGGCTCCCATGGCTCAGCACTGGCTGCTGCCGGTGTTGCCTGCCCTCAGCACTGCTCAGCACTGCCTGCCGGTGTCAGTGCTGCCAGTGCTGCCACTGGCAGCAGCCAGTGCTGAGCCATGGGAGCCCGATGGGTAGGGAGTGGTGGAACATCAATCTGCCCCCGAGTGTACGACGTGAAACGCAGTGATTTCATGCAGCTGATGATGTGCAAATTTTATTATTCAGTAGCTGAAGAACATCACTATTATAGGTGCGTATGTATTTAAAAGGAAGAATACATGGATCGCGTAAGATCATCAAGGTACATAATTAAATGACTTGGATCATATCATCCTGCATACTTAGCTTAGCTAATTTACGGTGATCATATTCAGAACCCGTTCCTAATTATCAGCGTGCTATGAATTCGGAACTCGGCTGTTTTGTACCCAGTGACCGGTCTCATCACATTACAGCTGAGATTCCTGTTATATTCATTACATTCGGTCTGCCCGTTAATTTTCCAGGCGCACCGGAGCAGGGCAACAGAGGACGCGGCCGTCACAACAGCACGTGTGAATTAATGACGGACGGGGAGGGCGCGCGGCGCGCCGGCCGGCCGGCTCACCGTTTACGGCCTCGTTTACCGGTTCAGTCACGTGCTCGTATTCCGAGTAGTGCCGCCTCACTATGAAGAACTGCGCCAGCGATGGCAGCCCGTGCCGCCGACCCAGACACGCGGTGATGCCGCGCAGAGCCGACCGGCCAGGGCCCCAGTGTCCCTGTCCCCAGTGATGTCATTGGTGGCCGTACAACCCGTGTGACTCAATCTGCCAGGAACTGAGAGCCTCCGTGTGGTAGTTGTTACAATCGCCTACAAAGGTCATTCTGTTTCAAATGTCACCGAGTTGGCTTCAAACGGCCACCAAACGACATCATCCCGGCTCAGAGGCGCCCATTGTAATGCCTCGACTGAGCCCATTTGACTGCTCCCTGCCTCAACCTTTCCCCAGACGGCGACGGAGATTCTGTGGACTCAGCCGAGCCGCCGGGCTGCCGGCCATTCCGGGAGCGCCGCTAGCGGAGAGTGAGAAACTCTGTGACCGAGGGAGGCCTCCACAGCCGCCCGGCACATCCGCCGCCACTGCTCCAATGCCCACCGGCCCCCGATGTTCTTAGGCGATTGAGCTGGGACGCGATTGAGCCGAGTAACACAGTAAGTGAGAATGATACGTCCCGGGGCGGGGCCGAAGTTCCGATGAGTTTGGGTTTTTCAACGCTCAAAGTGCACCGGTCACTGGCGGTAGGGGCATTCCACGTCAAATCAAACACCGAAATCCGTCATCCCCTTCGATTTTTTCTGAAAATTTGTAGGCAGACTGGGCATGGTTCAAAACTGAGTTACGTGTAATATTTTCGAAATTTGATAACGTATCGCCGAGATATAGGTCATCGAATATAGCCAAAAATGCCACACATCATTTTTTAAATGCTTATAACTCTGGTTCCTTTTCTGGTATCAAAATGATATTAACAGGGTCTTGTAGACAATTGATAAGGCTTTGATTTTTAATTATAAAATTAAATTGAAGTGACCTTGAAATGTATTTGACCTTGAATTAAAACAGAAAAATTTAAATAGCAAAAAACACGCCACCTTCGATTTGAGTAATTTTTACATATTATATCCGTCACAATGTTCCTAACCATCTGTGAAAAAAATGGAGTGGGCCATTCATAACTTTCGCGGCAAACGCCGTTTTCATGCATCAACATCACGCAACCGCGCGTGACCTTGAAAGATAGAGTCAAGACATGCTTGCTTGTGTACACTTTCTGAAATGAATGATTGCTGATTAGTGATATCCCAAACTCTGCGAGAATGGAAATGCATAGTCATCGTAGTCAAGCATTCACGTTCCATTGTAAAAGTGTCTCAGGCAAACGGTATTTTGCGGTGAATTTTGAGCCGTGTGGAAATGCATCATGAAATAAATTCAACGAAAACATTATCACGCAACGATATCTTCACGTCTTTTGATCTTCACTATACGAAAGAACATACATTTTTGAGTATTTATGGGGAATTTCTAGTTAATCCGATAATAAATATGGCAGTTAGAGTCCTGCTAAGAGTAACATGTCGCCGGCTGAGGCGGGATCGGCCGACGCGGGAAACGCAGCAGTCACAATTTTGTGTTTACACGTTCATATTTCAATTGTTTACCAACCTATTTTCATAATTCTTTCACCATAAGATTGCCTGTACATTTCTTAGTCTTCTCTCACAAAATTTGACGCGAATCGAACGTAATCAGCGGTAAGGAGCGCGATGTAAAGACGGAACCGTTCCGTTCCGTCCCGGCACAGTCTACAATTCAGGCGGCGCGTAGCGGTCGGCGCCGGCTGCCGAGTCGCCGCGTCGCCGCGGCGACAGGATGTTCACTTTACACCGCTATTACTAGAACAGTTGTGAACCGATTTTCTTATTGCTTGCACGATGAGATGTGCAATTCAATTCTGGACAGGTAGCCATAAGTAAGTTCGCATCAATATTATGAGATATTGGCGAAAAACAGGAGGGGTGGGGCGAAATTCACTCTTCCCCCTCCACTGCGCGTGCTAATATACGTTTGCATATGTGCCATTTTCTTCAAAACTTATGAATGGCCCACTCTAATTTTTTCACAGGTTGTTAAGAATATGGTAGGCAATAAAATATATGAAAATGAGCCAAATCGAAGGTGGCGTGTTTTTTGCTATTTCAATTCTTGTGCTTAAGAACAGAGTTAAGCAAATTTCAAGGTCATATATTTAAGTCGATGCAATTTTAAACAAATGCTTAAGAAATTACCTAAACAGTAAGGTTTATTTCATTCAAATCAAACAAGTACAACCAAAGTTATGGTCGTTCAAAAATATAAAGATGCAACATTTTGTAAAAATTTGATGCCCTTTATTTAGAAGACCTGTGGTCAGAATGTGCAAAAAACATCAATGTAATGTCCGGGGCGACACAGGAACTCGCTCACAAATTTATAATGAAATCGCTGATGGTAAGGTGCAAAACAGCCGATTTTTGTTCGATTTGACGTGGAATGCCCCGGTAGCAAAACTTCAAACAACACAATCCCCATAAAACACAGACTGAGCTTTTAGCACTGAGAGGCGCGTAACTGGTCACTCACCCATTGCATGACCTTGAGTGTGACGCAGTGGTGTTTCTCGGTCATAACGAACTCGTACACGTGCTCTTGTCGCTTGATCTGCTTCTCGGTGAGGCCTTTCAGAATCTGCGGCAGTAAATCGTTAGGTTATAGTGGCGGCTGGTAAGAAGCACAATGGATGTTCAGCTATTGATCAATGTGAACGCGCAGGAACAGAGATCAAACGTATGCCACATAAAAAAGGTTTTGAATTAAACATATAGTATCGAATTTTAGGACTCCAAAACACAGAAGACTTCTTTTCGACGTTAGACTTAACTACCCTACGGAACTAGGTAACTCGTTTGTCAAAGCGTAATCTATGCCCTCTGACAGGTGACCGACCTTTCGGTCGACGGAGCCGCTCCACGCCTCTGACTCCTCATCGAGCAGCTTCAGGTCGGGGTCATCCACAGAGTCACCAAGCGACATGACCGGTGCTGAGGGCGGCAGGGGACGCCGTCACTCTCCGCAACAAACGCGACATAGACCGCAGGGCTCACAAAGACAGTAGTGTCGAGATCACACACACACGGTATGTGGAAACAGACAGATCGGCGGTCAAACGAACTAAAATAGATTGTCACAAAATATAAGAGTGGTCGGTAGGCTCGGACATACGAAACACAAACACACAAGAGCAAACATCTAAACAGAGCCATCGATTTGCATAACAGAGACACAGCTGCGGAGTGGGTGGCATGTCACACAGATTACATTCGGCGCACCGCAACACACTGTCGCACTGTCAGTGCAAACAACAGACTTCTTGTCGTCAGCCGACTGTGTAAGCTAAAGGTCATCATATGAAAAGTGGTGTCATAAAGCGAGGGAAGCTGAAGGCATGGTGTGGCCAGCCCTTGGTAACAGGGAACGGCGCTTGTTTCCACCCGAGTCCTGGCTGAAATTTAGCAGTGCTGCTGCTGACCTTCGAGCAATGCAAACAGCTCTATGATGTCCATGAACACTATTGAAAGCATTCATATGACAGCGACGGACTGAAAGGACTTTATAGCACACAATGGACTGGTATGACCAAACAACAGGAAGGGAAGGCTCTGCACCGGGACGCGTCACATCAATATCCATCATACACCATCGACCGCTCGTAAACTGCGGCCCTGACTAGCCGAGCGACCCCGGGGACCTGGACGGTCACACCGTCAGCTCGGCCAGCACCACCATCGACCTGCCGGCCGGCACCTGTTGACCAGCGCAACACCGCCGTGCAGCGCAACACAGAATTACACAACGGCCGGCAAAACAGCGACAGTCGGATGGTAATAGCAGTGCGTACGGAGACTGCCCAATACTACGGCCGAGGCTCAGTGCCGAACGCCCGTGTTGTGTGGGAGACACGAGTGACAACGGAACGCACTTGGTGGCCCATTAGCGGCCGCCGGGGGGGGGGGGGGGGGGCAGGGGGCGTCACTCGACCGGTGGCATCGCTGATCGGCCTGTGTCTGTGGAGACTTAGGGGAAGGGCAGGCGATTGAACTCGGTACAGAATGTGTGTATGTGGGGGGGGGGGGGGCGCTACGATACAGACTCACAGGGGACAGTATGGGGGGGGGGCGACAGACGGCCACCACAATATTCCTGGCAGCACGACAGGTTTTTAGCGACATCCACATGGTACTTGAGCAGCACGGCATGCACAAGTACTCAAATTCCCTTGACTCTGACCAAATGCACACAATGAGGCGAGTAAACGGAACCAAGACAACAGACTGGAAGACAATGTATAAGTGACGCTTAACTGGCGAACTGAACAGGCAGCATGGTTTATCTTCTGATAAACACGACAGATCGACATTTCTAAAAAATCATCACCAATACTCACTGTCAAAAGGATCTCCGAAGTTTGAGGCGTCGTATTGCCTGTCAAAAATAACGGAGAGAAACATTATTAATGTCACAGACCACAATGACAACCAGGGTGACAGACGCTGCTATTGGCATTGTTCAATCGGAGGCTAAAACGAGCTTTATTTCGTCAGTAGGCTGGCAATTACGGTAAAGTTATGCACCGTAGAAATTCGGACGTGTAGAGGGCATGGGTTCCGTACGAAAAGGAAGCCATACCTAACCGTTTATGATTATCCTCAGCTCTGTATATGTATAAGTCACAGCATCCGTGCAAACCACATTGCAGCTGACATTCCCGAGCCATTGAATAAAACACTTTCTAAGTTTAAGTTCTGTACGCGGGCGACTGTTCAGCTACATCAATCTCTTCGATGACGAATGTCTGCTATGAATCAGACCTGACACCGCCGCCAGCCCAGCTATACTCACAGCAGAGGGTCCTCCATATCGGACGTTGATTTACTGAAACACAAAGGGAGCCGATGTCAGCTCGGTGGTCCGGGGAGTCCACAGTGTCCCGGACGAGACGCTGCTACACGTACCCGGAGCAAGGGACTCAGTCACTTCACAGAGAACGGGTGGAATACACGGACACTAGAGTCATATATCGAGTGTCATATTCTGCGATGGACCACATACCCTCACACTTTGCGATAACATCACGTTTTTTTCACATTTTTCCGCATAACGCCACACCCCCGTCATTCCCACACCTCACCCATGAGTTCCCACACCGAATAAACGACTTACCCACTACCCAGTCCCTACACTAAATACACGGTTCACCCAGTCCCCACACTGAAAATACGGCTCGCCCAGTCCCCCACACTGACCCCACGGCCGGCGTGAGCTATCACTCCGTTCCGTCTACACCCCACGCGGCCGGCCGCTCCCCGGTCGGCCAGCGGACACCTCACAGCGGACACCTCACAGCGGACACCTCACAGCGGACACCTCACAGCGGACACCTAACACTGCCAGTCGGACCGTGACCTGTGCGTTGTGCCGCCGCCGTAATCTAATCGGCGCCTTTGGCGGCCGCGGTACGGTACGGAGAGCCGGCGGTGGCCGCTACATGTCGGTATACGGAGCGGCGGAGTGATTCAGGGCCGCGGGGAGGCCGGCCGACTCAGTACCGCGATCAATGGCGGAACGGACCCGGCCGGGACGGGTGGAAAACCAGGCACGGACCAGGCGGGCGCCCAGCTGGGCCGCTGAGTTACACGGCGGGCTACGATGGGAGGGAGCGGCGACGGACGGAGCCGCACCTGCGGCGCGGAGATGAGTCTCTCCCCCTCCCCTCCACCAACCACGAGACGACTGAGAGAAATGGAGAGAGTCGAGACTACTCTCAAGGGACGTACACACAATGTCCGCTGTTGAAACTGCTCACGAAAGCACTGGAGACGGCCACGCGGACAATGGAGCTGTTCAATGAAGCAGCTCTCACAGACACTGGGGTGTAGACTATAAAGAGTAAACGACAAAACGACACTGTATCGACACAACGACACTGCAGTGCCATTGTGTAGACAAAACGACACTGCACTGCTAACATTCTACTGAGGAAGACATTAGCAGTAACACCTTTTGCTCCACCGATAGGGAGTGATAGCGAATATTTGTGAAACGTGGCGTATCAGCAGATAGAACAGACACTGCGCTTTCATTGGGCAGCGAAAAGGTCGGTGATCAGTCGGATCTGTGACGTAGGTGTGTGACGAAATATCAGAGACATACGATATAACTAGGTGAATCAACACTCACCAGTGTGCGAACATACCGACGGGGGGACAATAGTGATAATGGCTTCATTTAGTGAACGCAAGAGATGAAAGGAAGACACCTGTGCAGAAGACAGAAATGCAGCTAACATAGAACAGACAGAAAATGTCACAACAGTGCATAATTGGACACCTAAAAAGCACGACTGTTTCAGAGCTGTGATAGCACGAAACAACGAGCGCAAACGCTAACAACAGAGTTGACCATATTCACTACACAAAGAGGCGGTAGCCCTTGCAGAAGAACGGGCTGGTCCATTGACGATGGGACAATCAGACGAGATATAAAGCATCAAAGTCATAGAAACGTGAGACGATATGTCAGAAAACGCCGCGGTTTGCCATTTCCAAAACGGTCACGATGCTTCAGTAGGTAAAAAAGAAAAATAGCCGAGGAGCAAATACATTCATTCTAGCGATTAGCGGCCAGTCAGTTCGCCGCTAAGTCCGGAGTTAGTGCACATGCGCAATGTCAAAACTGTGACGACACAAAACATTCGCCATATTACGGTCGATCTCGACGGATAAGAAACCGGCCTCAAGTGAGCTTCTTATAACCCGAGCCGCCGGATAAAGAAGGGCCAGCTGAAGAAGCTGGTGACACCGTCAGGCTCTCGGCGTCCAGCGCGGCGGGCGCCGGGGACGGGTCGGGGACGGGTCGGGGGCCGGTCGGCGGCCGCCAGCAGGCAAACACCGATACTCAGCACAACACCAAGGTGGCAGGCTCGCGCGGTCGGCGCAGTGAGCGGACGGGCAGAGAGCGGCGGCCGGCCGGCGGCGCGGCCACTTACTTGACGCCCAGTTTGACAGCCACGCGCCGCCACTGGAACGGTCCCGACAGGCCGGCCGGCCGCAGCCGCGACGGCGAGCTGCAGCTACCGACACCGGCGGCAGGCGCGGTCAGCACAGACCCACGGAGAGCCCGCGCGCGCGGCCGACCAGGGCTGAGCGCAATGGGGCTGGGAAGGTCTGGACGCGTCAGGATTAAAGACTAGGATAATAGGATTTAGGTCAGGGTAATGCAACAGCCAGCCAGCACACATGCTATCTGTCGAGCTAGCTAGGGTACGAGAAACATCCACTGAAAACCGCTGTCGGAAAATTATAATGAAAGAACCATACAGCTGGTTGAAAGGTTGCATGAGTAGCTCTTTGCAAAAACAAGTTTGTTGACAGGACTCGTCTCCAGTGAAAGGCAGCTAATGCAGCTGAGATACAGAGAAAAGCTAGAGGTACGTCAACAGCGGGGTTTGGATGCATTTCAAAAGCCTGGCGAATGCCCAGAAAGGACCTGACAGCAAAGCATGAAACCCGGGAGTAAGGAGGAGCCTGACGAGGCGGGGACGGGTCAGAGCGGATATGACAGGACGGGTGGGTCAACGGGAACGGCAGGGGACACGTCAATAGCAGCCAACTAGGTATGCATTGCACAGCGGTGCCAATACTGCAGCTGTCATTAAAAAATCAAAATAGTTCACCTATTCTCTACACCTTTTTGTATTTCATGTGTAAAATATTGAGGATAAGTCTGGGTCTAAGAGGAAGTTGAAAAAAAGAAAAAGAAGTATTAGTACACGAAACTGAGGCAGTTGTCAGTTCTTCTGTCGCGTCTCGTTCGGAAAAGGAAGTGGGACTGGGGGATTATAACAGCGGACAGTGGCACAGCCTGAGGACTTGGAAAGACGGCGGAATTATTCTCGCTTCATCCAACGTATGTACACATACAGTATACACAGCTCTCAATAGGCAGTCTCAACCGACCCGAGCTATCACCAGCTCCCATCACCAGGGGCACTAACACCAACCACCACCACCACCACCAATTCCTCTCCGTCCCGGCCCACTCACTTGCGTCCCATGTCGACGATCGGCGGGGAGACCTTGGGCGCGGCCAGCGTGGTGTTGTTGAGCCACCGGCCGCTGGCCACCGCCTGCGAGCCGCGCTGCAGCAGCGTCAGAGACTGCGTCTGCTTCGGCTTCGCCTTCTCCTTGTCCTGAGAATTAGACACGGAGCCGGTCAGGTCGAGACTACGTCATGTCACGTTAGGTGATAATACATTATACACGGATGGATTCTCGTCAGTGTGAAAAAGGGGAGAGACGATGAATACAGACAGGCTGGGACAGGTTGCCGTTGAATTTCTCTAGCGAATAGAGATTGTACAACATATTCTTACTTAGCTCCTAATTGTTTGGACTCACAATTGTACGTAACAAGAACGCTCAGTGGCAGAAAATCGGAATGACGATGATGTAAACTGAGTGGGCATTACATAAACTAGCGCCACTCCATTGAATGACCACATATGTTCGGATACGTTAGTGTTCTCTCGGAGCTGTTCTCTGTTGAGGTTAATATCCGGTGGACCCTCTCTCGCCCCCTGCTCTCCCCTCCTCCCCCTCCTACCACCGGACACCGTTCACTCGCCGGCGCGGGTCGTACCAGCTCGTTACTGGTCGTCTAATGCACTCGCCGCGCCGCGATCGGATGCCTAAACGGAGCTCGTGTCAGACAGAGAGCCGCCATTACCGCCCGTCCCCCACACTCTGCCCTCCGCTCCGTCTGCTCTGCCTCTCTGATCAGACCCCCGCCGTACGGAGAGAAATTCCCGACGGACCGCGGACGGCCGCTTCCACACACAAATGGTCCTGTTTTCGGTGACAAATTTCCGTCGTCCAGCCGAGAAAAATGGTGGTCAAGAAGAAAAGATTGCCGCGCTCGGGCAGCTCAAGTAAGGGATTTTGTCGCAGGGAGAATGTGGCACTGAGCGGCGGAAAATGCTGGATTAATTCTGATGGGCTGGAGCGAAACTTTCTCAGCACTGCTCCGTTTGCTGTCTCGTCTCGATGACTTGTGACGTTTCTATGACGATGACATCAGTGTAATTAGCTCCTACTAATTATTACCCTCACTGCCAATATTGCCCAATAACTCATCGAGGCGTAACATCAGGATAGCGCGTATGTGTTCAGTGTCACCGCTAGTTCCACTCCGGGACTATCAATATGCCACTGAGACGTTGCAAATATAGAGCAGAGGGCACGCACGATGGGTCGTGCGGCAAGTCATTAGCAGGCGATCTGCTGGAAGCATGGGTGGAGCTTCCTATACAGTTAACCCGCGAGTTGCTGGGGGGGGGGCGTTAAACGCCCCCCCCCCTTTTTTCGCCGGGCCATAGCATAAAAACGGCGCGCCGCAGGCGCGCCAAATTTTGGGTACCTGTAGAGAATTGATTGAGGTTTATTGTCACAAAGTTTCAAAAAAAAAATCGGTCGGAAAATTTTTGAGATATCGAGGTTTTAGTGACGTCATGATTTCTGAGTTTTCGACCAAAAACGGCATATGTTCAAAAAATCATATAAAATCACAGAATAGACATACAGACATGACGTAAACGCCGTTAGACTGCCAATACCATGAACAATCAAATGGCTATCTTCGATTATTGATTATCGTTCCGCATTTTCCAAAATCTTGAACTTAATCTTGGCAATTTCTCGTGACTACCTCACGACCATGATGTATGTAATTCTTAAATTGAACTTTTTTAGCCAAACACGTACACATATGATAAAATGAATGCCACCATCGTGTTCTACGCCCCAAATTACCCATAAAACATGTGTCACAGGCTGCGAATATCAGTTTTCATTTTCGGGGATATGTGCCTGCCCGGTTGACCTGACCTTGACCCTGACCTATGCTTGACTGACCCCTACATGGAGCTGACACTCTTGTAGGCCTTATATGATGGATTGTGCACCGTTTTGACAGAGTTTATGACGAGAGGCGCCCATTGCGAAGTCCTGAAGTCCATGCTACTGAAAGCCCGATTTCAGGTGTTTGACCTGACCTTGACCCGACGTGTGACCTCAAAATTCAACTTTAAAGTACTCATCTGAAGCGTCTCGTCGCCTTCTTTCGTTTGCCGCCTCGTGCGTTTCGCTGCGCCTATTGGTTCTCGAGTTATCGGCTGGGGGCGTTTAACGCCCCCCCCCCCCAGCAAACGGTGGGTGGCGAAATACCCCAGCAACTGCCGGGTTAACTTGCCATTTTGCCCCACCAACTTTAGCTGATAAGTAGGACTTTGATGTTTTGAAGATCAATCTTTTTCTCATTGAGGAGCTTTAGAATGTATGTGTAATACAAAATATTATATCTGTAATGATAGGAATTGATTCAGTGTAGCATTTTATTCAACTTGACAATCGGACATTGTAGGTTTGACGAGTTTTTTGCCCCACCAACTTCGCTGGAAAAGCTCCACCCATGAGTGTAGGTGCGAATTAATTCACCAATGCACTCGGAATATGACAGCTATAAAATGAACCCTGCGTCCAACGATGTGTGGGGGAGTACCCTAATCGCAAGCATATTGTCAAACCGCTATCGACATTGCTAAGCCAAAAGACGAGGGGTTCCCCACAGCAAGTACCCTGTCCACTGCTGTGTACGGTACAGGTGACTGTCAAAAAGGGCAGACTGCCTTTGCCTCTTCCGTACCTTCTTCTTGCGGAAGAAGATGCTGCTTCTCTTCCGTCGCTGCTTGTTGCGGTCATCCTCCAAGAACGACGGGCTGTTGAAAGAAAGAATAACAATGTTAGTTGCCGGATGTCCTTATCGACATTAGCTGACTGCCGTGACCTCCCTAGATAAATATAGCCAGCTCCTGCTGTTCGGTAGCTCTCTCGCTTGGCCACGAGTTACGCTACCGCCCCTGTCGCGCTGCTGGCCCGCGTTTCACCACCATTTCCCGCGTCTCGCACCGACGTTCAAGGCCGCCGCCGGGCTGCCGGGCCGTCGGCTGTCGATTCTGCGCACGTTTCGGTTCCTCAATATGCAGCCAGGGTAGCCCGGCCATGTCTCTGGGGACATGTGAGCCCCGTCCCTTACCCCGGGATAGCGTGCCGTGCCACCGAACAGCCGGCCGAGACGCACACAGCCAGAGGAGCTGGCTCAGCGCGGTGTGAATGTAAAAGAACGCTGAATTCAGTCGAAGGTTAGGGGGTCGGCTACCAAATGGTTCGTAATTATCTTATTAGACAGAAAACGTACATTACTATACAAAAAAAAAAACATGAGCAGGGAGAAACTGGCCTTCGATGGCGTTTGTAGGTTGAAATTGAATGAGTGCATGAGATCGAAATGTCTTACAACACTTTTCTCCAAAATGCTTTACCTAAATGAGGAAGGTTTCTGATACCTCATACCATAACACAAATGTAAAAACTTTTGTGTAAAAAAGGCCAATACACCCCTCAATCAATTTTTGGCAAACAATAAGCGTAGGTAATAAATCTCCCTAATTCAAACAACTGACAATGCAAAACCAGAAGCATCTAGATTCTAGACCCATGCTATCATGAATTACGTTCCAGCCCCAGACAAGACCGCCGCTCCTACGGTGCAGCCATTAGTTATACGGAAAAGGTCAGTCCCGGCCTGCAGCGTTGTGGTTTCAGCGAGAGTTTGTTTGCTGACAAAAAGTGCCGTCCAGCTTAGCGTGTTACCCTCCCACAGAACAATAATTCGCGATACATTTTAAAGCATATGCATTGCGTATGTGTATAGGATTACAGATTACTCACTGCTGAAACTGCCGCCGGAGCAAACTTCTGTAGTATCAGGCACGCTGGTGTACCGAGTTCGCCGACATGAGAATGCGACAGTGCCAACCATCCTCGTTATTATGTCAATACATGCCACTATCTAACGAAGTTGCCGGTACATATGCCCCTAATATGCAGCAGTATCATTTTTCCCCATTGGTACCCACCTCTCGTTCTCTCCGTGGACGTGATCCTTGTATAGTATTCGTGCATTGATGAAAGAAATTAGTTAGATGCTCTATGGCCAAGATTCAGTCTGTGTGACATACCTGATCCTGACTAAAACACTCCACGAAGTGGCTGTATGCGAAGTCTCTTCTGAGGTAAAGCTCTTAGCATGTTCTCTCTGTGATGTCCATTCGTACTCCTTCTGAATTATGCGAGGCATTTGTTCGTAAGCTCCTGAGGTTGATGTCTGTCTGTTCTTTCTCTGTGGTGTCCGTACACTATTTCTGAGTTGTCTGTTGGTAAATTCTCTGCGAGGTGTCTCTGTGGTGTGCCGAGACTCACTCTCTGATAAAGTTGTCGGCGGAGGCGGCGCCGCCGCGGAGCGAAGCCAGCTCCTGACGCTCCTCGTCGTCATCAGAGTCGTTACTGAGCAGGCCGCTACTGGCGACACACACAGGGCATCGAGCGACGTGCGGGTAATTCGGACGCATACCGGGCGGGACACACTCAGAGGGACACTACAGGGGACAGGGCACACATCAGGGAGACACTACAGGGGGCACGTGGCACTCAAGAGGGGAAAGGGCACACTGGGGACCGCGCTTTATATGACAATGGCACACTCGGGGTGTGTAGTGTTTTGCAACACTGCAAGGCCGTTAGAAAACACCACAACGGAAGGGCACACTCAGAGGCGGCGGGGAGATGACACAACGACACGTGCTGTAAAACATCGGGTACAGCCGGCTGGGGAAATATCTCATAATTGGGGAGGTGCACATCAGAGGGGGGAGCGCCAGGGGGCGGAGCAGAGGAGGGATAGGAGGTCAGGCATAGCCCAGAGGCGGGGGCATGCGGGTGACAGAGCGGGTGGATAACCACGATCCGGGTAATCAGACTAAGGGACGGTGCTATCGTTAGAGGTTAATGAGCGCGCGGACCACCCTACGATGGTTATGAAGCGACCAGCGCCACTGCGCGATAACCAGAAACTTGTCCGGTGTAAAATAGTCGAGTGAGTGAGATGCTGCGACTTTTTTATGTGTGATTTGTCCAACTAGATAGCATGTGGGTCTCGTGCACTTTTGAAGGCGCAAGACAACATGCGCCTGATGAAAAACGAAAAAAGAGACTTAATCAACCACGGCAATGGTAATGTAACGGCCTCGTAAGGCCTACGCAATACGCGAATTTCACTACATGCTGATACCATTATTGAATTACTTGTAATTTGTATTCAGCCGGTGAGACACACAATAAGTCCAATCCAATTAAGGATCCCTACCAAGCCCGTTACTGTGACGCGGTTGTGTTTGGCCGTGGCACGCTAAGCCCATTCAGCTCCATCAAATATCCAGCGCCGGCCGCCGTGCTCTCGTCTGTGGCTCTGCAGCGCCGGCGGTAACCGGGCGTTGGCGGCCGTTTGGCGCCGGCTAAGGGGCCGTCTGACTGCTGTCCGGAGCGGCGGGGGTAGTGTCGGTGGCTGGGGGACCGCCCCAGTGAGCCCGCCCGGTCACCGAGAGGCACCCACACAGCCGCCAAAGGTCACACGGTCGACATACTATATCTGCTGCCCTCCATCTCCATATGACGGACAGACATGACAAATAAATGGATGGTCTTAGGCATCGCCTAATTCAGCTGAAATAAGTTACAGATTACGTCACAGATTACAGATCAATGTGTTCGTAGTTCGATGTCAATCTGGTTTCAATAGATCGGCCACATTGAGCACTCGAGTGCTGTTTTGGTGCATCAAACCATTATGCATGCTGACAAGTCGCATGCCCTCCTTATGGGACCTATTCGACCCTCCACCACCCTCACTACTAGATAATGGCACTAACTGGACTGGTGACCTCTGACCTTACCCTCCGTCTCCGGGCGACGGGCAGTGTCCCCCTATCCCTCCCCTCACAGACGCCACGGCTGACGGACAGTCCCAGACCGGTCCGGAGCGGTAAGGAGGGCACGGACAGGACACTGCACGGCGGCAACTCGGATCTGCAGGCGCAGTGGAAACTGAGCATCTCCAGTTGTCTTAGACTCGGAGGGACCGGCGAGGAGAGGATGGCCACGAATGGTAGGCGCAAATACATCGGTACTTGTGCCTCACACAACATGGGTACTGGGTAGGTATACAGACGGGCCACGAGGGTATGCCTGCCGTGTACCACAGAGGGAACAACAGGGTACACCAACGCATTTCTACAGGTAGACAAGTACGCCACAATTAGCAACAATGCATGACAGAGAGTGGCGTACGCTATCGGTAGAGCCACTACTACCAAAGCCATATATCCACAACACCAATCTCTGCGGCGTTCCTCAGGGAGCTCAGACCAACAGAAAACTTCTTCTCTGTACAGTACAGGGAAAGGGAAGGGCGCGGAGCACACCACCCACTGACGTTACACACTGACGTCAGATGACGTCCCGTCACTTACGTCAGTTTTCCGGCGTCAACCTCCGACCCGTCTCGGTGCTGGCCCAGCATAGACGGTGTGGAGACGGACTTCTGCATCTTGGAGCGCGGCTCGACAGCCGACCGGCCGTGCTTGCCCTGAGGGGTCACAGGTCATCAGTCAGATCATTGGTCAGGTCAGGGGTCAGGCCACCGGTCAAATTATCGGTCAGGTCACGGGTCAGGTCATCGGTCAGGTGACATCGAGTCACGTCAGCTAGTCTCCGCGCAAATAACGGGTCCAGGTAAGTTCAAGGCCACCGACCCCAGGTCCCCAGCCCCCCCCCCCCCCCTTCGTCAAGACCGGACCCGCACGGGTCGTATCTCCACGGCCACAGCCCGCGTCATCGTGACGTTTCACGGACCGGATGACGGCCCTCCACTCAGCTGTGGCCTAGTAACTCAGCGTCCCGGGCTTCCAGACATTCCCCAGTGTCCGGCGCACATGCTACGGAACACACGTTCCTCTGGCAACCCGTACCCATTCATTCTATTTCTGTGTTCCAGTTGAAGCCCGCCCCGCCAGAACAAACATATCAGACTAAAAGCGCAATGGGGCTCGTCATAATCTCAGTCCGCGTGTCCGCCTAGCAAGGTCACCGTTTCCGAGCCAGGACGCCGCGGTATGTTAGTGTGTCAGTATAAATGTCAGCGTGCCACCGTGTCAGTGTGCCAAAATGACACCGACACGTCCAGGTGATGGTCGGACTAATGAGATAGAGTGACAGTCAGTGTCAATACCGTAAGCGATCCGTGAGTCATCCGCGGGTTCGTGACAGTCCTCCGCGGGTTCGTGACAGTCCTCCGCGGGTTCGTGACAGTCCTCCGCGGGTTCGTGACAGTCCTCCGCGCGTTCGTGACAGTCCTCCGCGGGTTCGTGACAGTCCATTAGCGGTTCATGACAGTTCGTCACGTTGTCTGAGTGTTGGTCAGCAGGTTCGTCAGAGGGAGGGTCTGTGAAGGTCTGCGTGACGGCCTGCCGTATCAGTGGTTCCGTGCAGTCGGCCGTGCTGTCCACCCCGTTCCAGCAGAGGCCACTGACCTGAAGGGGAACGCCGCCCGCCTGTCCGGCCGAGCGGAGCTCATCGGTGCTGACACTGACACCAGAGCCGACACCGGCCGCCAGCCGCAGGTCATCTGAAATGACACAAACCGGTCAGAACACTGACACCGACACTGACACCGGCCGTCAGCCGCAGGTCATCTGAAATGACACAAACGGGTCAACAGACTGACACTGACACTGACCGCCAAGCGCAGGTCATCTGTAATGACACAGAAGGGGTCAGCAGACTGACACTGACACCGAAGCCTACACCGGCCGCCAGCCGCAGGTCATCTGAAATGACACCAACGGGTCAGAAAGATAACGATAGATAACCAAGTCCAGTAATCCCACGGATACACTGACCAACAGACATACAGAAGAAAGATACACAGACACTCGCCGCAGGGGAGAACACGGTCTCGTGACCGAGCATTGACCACGATTTGTCTCCCTAAGCGCCACCGAGTCAGATTAGCTCACAGCGGGGCCACCGGCGGAATACCCTCGAGGCACGGCGTGTCACCGCCGCGAAACGGGCAAAGTAGCTGAATGTGATTACGCACAAACAACTTAATTAGCACTCGGCGAGCGCAGGCTGAAATGGAACTGAAACGAAAAACAGCGCGCAGAGCCGAGTCAGCAGCTGGGGGTCTCTCGTCGAGCTTATAAGAAACAAACCGAGGCAGAGTTGGCAAAAATGTGCACAAATCACCAAAAAGTTACAAAAACGGAACTAACTACCGAGCCCAACGAACAGAGTTGATACTTGATAATGAAATTTCATATCACTAAACACCTAAAACTCGTCAGGGCGAGCGCGCTGTTTGCCGCTGTGTCCCTGCCACCGCTGAGCTCGTCTCACTGACCTTGTTTGCTGGGACTGCGTGTCTGGCCACCGGGACTGGCGTCGTCAGCGTCCGAGTCCAGACTGCTGAGACTGACACTGCCGGAGGAGCGAGGACCGGTCACCGGCGGAACGTACCAGACAGACGGGTCGGCAGCACTCACCTATCCGTGCTTCTATCCTCAGGATGCTGAAATCCTTCTCCTCCCCGCCGCAACCCCCTCCGGGCTGGACAGGCAACTTTATCTCATGCGGGCTGCTCTCTTGGAGCGGCACCGCTGCCCCCGAGGGAGCGCACCCCGTAGCCGGGTGCAGTGAGTGCCTTGGGGCTGGGTGGCCTGTCCTCTGGACGGGCTCAGCCCCGGCGACTCACTAGGGTGCCTGCCCAGACCAATGTCTCCCCCTAATTCCTATCATCCTTCCGGCTCTGCAATGGTCTTGTCGACCGAAAGGGCCTAACCCAACAAAACAAAACAAACAAACAAACAAATCGGCAGCACGATACACACAGGGGTGGGAAACACTTGAACAGACATGAAGGGGACGCAAAAGACGCACGGGTGGGCAACACGAGGGATACAGCGGTGAGGCTCATATGGGTAGGAACGAAACAGGTACAGCTGGAGGTGGCATTGCAAAAAAAAAAACGGAACGGAAAAAACCCGCAACGGTCGTGTCAGACACTGAGGTGGCCAAGGTACAACAGCCCTCATCACACTGCGTGGAAGGTATTCTTTTTTTCGATAAAATTGATAATGACTCGAAGACTATGTGTTATTCTCAGTTTTGTCGGAAAAAGAATACCTACGACGCAGTGAGACGAAGACTGCACGGGGATTGACACGAGCCACGCGCCGGCCATGTCACACTGGCTTACAGACGAGCGTACCATCGTGCATTGCCGGGGCTGCAGGGCTGGCCAGGACAGCACGGACCGGGAGGCGAGGCGGCGATATGTCATACTGGAAACTCGGGAGCGGACGTGTTTGCATCTCCTTCTAGGTACCACTCTACACGCATTTCGGCGCTCGGGGAACTGCGTTTACCCATACATAAGCGATAAGCCCCTATCGAGCATGTAAACACCTACTCCATCCCACGGGACCATACTCCGTATAATCCATTATACACGGTCAAAGCCAGCCAGGCCTAGATGCCATCTCGAGACATTCCCTGACATTAGCGGCATTTCACTCCCAGCCATTTTATCCCCGCAGCAGCTACTGGAAATTTTCATTAGGACGCCGTGCCCACGCACATCGTGAGACCCTATGACTTAAAACTCATCATATACTCGGAGCGCACAGGCTCCTCAGAAATTCACACCATTGGAGCTTCAGGCTCTTCGGACACGTCCTGCGTGGGACCGAACGACCGATCGACCTTCACGAGCCGAGGAAACGCGGGAGCCGCTACCTGACCACGGTCAATGAGCACCCTGAACGGGCCAAATGTCAGCGACATTAGCCGCTGATCCAGTCTGTGCTCGCCTGCTCCATCAGAGGGTACGGGGTAGACGGGGCCGGTGTGTGACGCTCTTTAACGGAAATAGCCATCATCGAGGGACATAAAGGCAAAAATGGAGGCTCGTCTTTAGCGCGTCAGGATCCCTTATGTAGATAAGTTTGTGTTTTACATCATCGTGAAGCTTCAAAGACCTATTTTTATGTCGCTGTTGAATCACCATAATACTGGGTAGTCCATCAAACCACGCTATTCTCGGAAGCCTTGGGCGTTGTTAAGTTAACTCAGAAACCACCGCATATCTTGTGGGATATACCTCCTCTTCCCAGAATCTCCCTCGGTGTGAACTGCTCTTTAGTCACGCTGCGAATCCAGCCACTCCAGGTATCCGAGATCCACCCGGGCCTGTGAACCTCCCTCTCCAGCTCTCTCGGGCCCCGTCTGTGACGGGTCGGCCGGCCGGTCGTCACTCGTCAGCCACTCGCCGGTCTCGGCGCGTGCCGCTCAGATAGGTACCGCCGCTGAGCCGAGGACTCATCAGTCAGCCGGGCCCGCCCGCTGCAGAAAGGATGGCCTCGTGGGCCGCCGTATCGTAACCCGCTCAGACCGGCTGCGAACCCTGAGCGAGACGTCAGGGCTCACTGCCGCCGGCTGCAGGAAAACTCGCCATTCGGATCACTACTCTGTGGCAGCACAGGCTCCAACAAAACATCCTAATCCCAGTGTGAGAAGCCTCCGTTATTCACCTACCCGCCTTTCTTGAGTCCTTTAATACCCGCAGCTTACATTCATTTCTAATCAAGGTCAGGCTCGTTCTGTACCTTTTTGTACTATCCCTGGCCTAACAGCACGCCCCCACCGCCAAACCCCCGCTACCAGAGCAGTTCCCCTGACCACCGGAGGCGGCAGAAGCGGGGTTTCTATAGCGGAGACGCCCACCCACCGTCCTTCCGTAGCAGAAGCAGCATTCAGCTGCTTAGGGGCTGATTATAATCACTGGCCTAGTGGCACGGTGCGGGCCTCGGGACGGACAGAATGACTGGACGTGGATCTCTGCACGGCATCGACCCGGTACCGGCGCCCGGCAATGACCTAGTCCCGGTGTGGGAGGCGGCCCAGCTAATCCGCGGCGGCACACCGAAAACCAATGACCCTCGCCGTCTGCTAATCTGGGCGGTAATCAGCCGCCGCGCAGCAGCAGGTGTTCCTCATTGTCGAGCGGTACAGTGCTTCTCCTGACTAGCAGGTGGATACATCAAGGGATCTAACTGTGCTGAATTCGATCCTTTTGTTTACTCAGGTGCTCGTCGACCCGTGACCACTTGCAGCTGCGCGTGTCATGAACTGGCCATGCATCCAACAATCGACAAAATCACATCGCATGGTTTTTGTACCCCATCCTACCACAAATAACCTCAGAACGCACAACCTACCACCACAGCGCGACTCGGTCTATCCAGCTTACACCCGGCGTGCGACCACTATCATCCCACAGTATGTATCCCTGGGCGAGACGTGCATCACACATACGCGGGTCATCGGGACACCCCTGACACAGCCGTGTGTAACATCAAACTGATAAACTCAACTCCATCAGCTGTGTGTGACATCACATTTGTGACGTCCCCGCCCACCACGCCACCCCTCACCTGCTACGGAGACCGCCGTCGCCGCCGTCCCGTCCCGACCAGCTCTTCCTGCGGTCATCGCCGGGCAGTGCGGACAGGTGCTGAGCCGTGTCTGAGACAGAGAGGTCAGATCAGGGTCAGGGTCACAGCAGTGGGCGGAGGGAGGGAGGTGAGAGAGAGAGGGAGGGACAGGGAGGCGCATTAGAGATAACACAGCGCGTCAGACTGAAGACGTACAACGCACACTGTTTTAGAGAGCACTCACAGAGCGAAAGCTCCGGTCGTGTTGTTTACGTCGAACGCGCGAAAACGGTGTTTACTGGAGAGTGCGGAACATACGTCCCGATCGCAGACGCCGAAGAAAAAATAGTCGGCGGCACAACAATCAGAACAAGGCATAGCAAAGGCGGAGTTCCGTGCCAGCTCACTGTTGTGGGTATAAATACATGCAGAACATAATGAAAGTTCGAATGGCTTCATTTCATTTATTTTTTTTTTCATCACGAAGAGACATTTTGTGACTTATGGTCACACTGACAACACTACCATCAAGAAGTTTTCCATGTTAACCTAATGTCCAGCCCTAAGATTGAGTTCACCAGGCGGAGCAGTTTTCCCCCATCGATCACGGTTTTGATGGGGCCGAGGTCCATCATCCACCCGAGTCCATCGACGAGCCGTTATCGACTTACAATGACCGGCACGGGCTCCATTTACCCCGTGTCCCCCGGCGGTCACACCATAATGGGGCCCGGCGCCACCCACCACCGGCCATTTCGGAGTAAACACAGGACCGGCGGCTGAACTCCACGACCCCGAGGCAATTATTTCTGCAACGAACTGTATCGAAATGAATCCACAAATCTGTATACACAAAGCTGACTGGACAGACAATTGAAAGAGTTGGTATAATCCGATTAGTTTGATGGTTTTTAAGGTTCAAAATTTAGCCTTTCAATACATTTCCTACTATTTCAGAATACGGGTGAGGAACAAAAACAATCACATAGATGGCCCAGATATACTTTGATCAAAACAGACCACGTCTAACCAGATCAGACCAATCCCAACCAGCTGGCACCAGGCCCAGCCCGAGCACCGATTCCGTTCTGCTGCACCCCGTAACCTTCATGTCCCAGCTCCGCGGTCTGCCCGCCTCCCGGGCTGAGCTCGATGGGTGGGTCCGGCCGGCCGCGGCTGGTCCTGTCACGTGCCCCCCCCCCCCCCCGGCCGTCAGGTGGCCGCCGCCGGGCAGGGGGCAAGGGGGGGGGGCAGGTGACGCAGTGCCTTCATAAGGCCGCGCCTGGGTAAACTCGCCGTCGGCGCCGCGGCGTGGCCGGGCAGGGCCAGCCACCGTATACCGCGGACTGCCTGCGCCGCGCCTGTTCCCGGTTCCGGGCCCGCCGGCCATGGTACGCAATGACCGACTTGGCTGCTGGGTGGGAAAACTTCCACAGATGCAAAGCGACCGGGGACCGAATATGAATATGGGTGAGAGAATTTACGCAGACGCTGACCGACCAGCACACTGAATATGAACGAGGATGAAAATGAACGGGACCTATTGTTAATTCGAAAATCATGGCGAGGTGCTAAATGAAAGGACAGGTCTGCTTTACTCACAGAAGAACAAACAAATATTCAGCAGCCAGTGAACATTTTTAGTTTTCTTCTGATCCATGTTTTTGGAGCAGGAAATCAAACGGACTCTCAGAGCCCTCATACCAATAGTAGCAGCAGAATGAACACGTAAAAACCCGTGCGAAAGCCGACTGATACCTCTTCTTCTCGCGGTTTCCTGTTGAGCCTTTGCGGCAGCGGAGCGACCACAATAGGAGCGAAATCGACCGACTTCTCAAGCCGAGGCGACCGGCAGGGTCCTTCTGTTCCCTGAGGACGTCGCTGAAAGACTACCGAGATCAGACTGCTCAGAGAGCCGCCACAAAGAGCCGCGGCCATCCTGTGCCCTCCGAGAGGCGGCTCCGCAATCAGGACAGCTCGTCACATTCAGTTCGTACCGACCGCATCTATTCGCAGTCGGCTCTCGGGCCAGGAGAGACCAACTTTTCCAATGGAGCGGGATGACTGTAATGGTGGATACGAGTACGCCGCGGGACAAGTGCTCTTGAAACGAATGGACTCAGTCACTCACGCAACAAACATCAATGCAGCGTCTTCAGCTAATGTGAAATACGCTGAGCCGAAACATCCCCAGCTCGGATGCGCTCAAACACAATGCGCCGAACACTGAACAGTGATGGACAAATAGTGAATAGCGCATATAAAAAACCATCATTAAAAGAAACCTGCGCACGGACTTTTGGGTGAATTCATTTGCAGCTTTATGCGAGTAACAGTAAAGTCAGTATCAAATAATTCCTACGAATGCATTGGTAATCAAGCAAAAAGACGTCCAAAAAGAAGCTAACAAAAAGGCAGGTGAAATTCTGTTGACAACGAAAGACGGCTGCAGATGACCTTTGCTCCGGTGGCAAGGATTTACCCATCAAAACGTAGCCGTTCTCGTAGTAGTGAGTATCACATGAGTGGCAAGGATTTAAAACGCAGGCAATACAATTGAGAAAGCCAGTAAACGACCTCAGGAACTTGGCCTGCCCGATATCCCAAGTAAGGTAATCTGGGCTCATTAATGGCCCGTCCTGGCATCTGCTAATAGTGTTGGAGCGACAGATCATACGATCGAATACATCTCACCACCAAGAGATTATCAGGGATTTGATATTCATCCCATCTTCATCAGATATTGAATACAACATAAGGCAAATGTTGCAATGACATGTTTAGTTGATGAATAATTTTGCTTTACCTTTCAAACGCCACTCACCACTTGGGAGTGAGTAAAGGGAATCCAGGGAACAAGTAAGAAAGGGGGTGGCTGGAGTATTTGATTCTAAAGCTGAAATTAAAAAAAAACTATCAACGCTTGGAGAGAACCGACACCGAATTAAATGAGCGAAACTTCTCATCAGCCTCAAGCAGCCACAAATAACGCCCCTGCACCGTTTTCCAGAACCGTCCGCAGTAATTTTAATTCCATCCTGCTATGACTGCGGCCCGCTATGACACGGCGCGGCGCTGTTGGAGCAGCGGAGGACCGCGTTGGGGAGGACCGGCCGGCTGCGTCACGGGCCCCAGCCCGGCCCCTGCTCTGCTCTCCTGCGGCGCCGACCGGGCCGTCCTATTGACCGGCGGTGCAGGGCGATGCGGCCCATGTGCCCGCCGCCGCCGCCACCGCTGCTCTCTCACGTGACCCTACGGCCGCGGCCGGGGCTCAGTTCGAGACGTGCCCGGCCGGCGGGCGGCCGTCAGAGCCAGCCCCCGGATCAAACGGCGGCACACACGGAGACACGGTGCGCCCGCCCGGCCGGCCGGCCAAACTTCATTAGCCAATATGTGGTCGGGACATGTCCCACATGGCTGGCGCGCTATCGAGCCGCGGCGCCGGCTAACTTTGGCCGGCCGCATCCCCACACCACCGAGACAGTACTGAGAGTGGCCGATTGGAGTTGGCGAGAGGGAGCCGAGGCGGAGAGCAGAGAGAGAGAGAGGGGGAGAGGAGACTCCAGGTAACGCCGGCGACTGGGGTAGAGCGGTTACTGTGCAGAGATCTCCAGAACAAAGACACCAGGAGAGGCTCTGAGGACTGACGGTGACTCACGGGATATGACATGGACGGTAACCGAATGAAACGCAGCAACACAAGGCGGAAACAGCATCTGCGAATCCCGGTCATTTCTGAATACCGTCGCAGTTTTAAGGTAGGAATGCCAAGCATCAGACGACGCCAGCTTCTTCAAAGGGCTCATTTTACTAGCATTCCAGTCAGGAAGCATTATTCATGCGAGAGGTTAAAGTAACGAGCCTTATGTTGCAAGGCCATCATAGCAATAAAATGAGAGGTCGACAACTTATGTTTCGGCACCAGAAATAACGCAGTGATTGCCGAGGACTGAATAGGCCCAATGAAAGCTGTCATTCACAATAAATGCCCGGAAATGTCAAAACTGTCGCTGTGTTCCCCTTCAGTACTGAAAATGGGTTAGGTGCGATTCTTATCCGATGGAAGCAGAGAATGCGTGCCTATGCATTTCCAGCACTGGCAGATCCAGGGGGGGGGGGGCATTTGCCCGCAACGCCCGAAATCGACGAAAATTTGCGGTTTTTTTCAAGAATAAAAAGAACACTAAACAACTTTTATTCGGAAAGTTTGTTTTAAACTGCACAGCAGTGCGAAAGGAACCGAAACCCAGTAAGTTTTGGGAATTTGGAGATTTTTTGGGGGTACGCCCCCCGCCTCCCGCAGCGTCCAAGATTGCCTTTCTGGATCCGCCAGTGACTTCCAGCGTTGCTCAGGTATTACGAAATTATCGCCGCTGAGTCCTCGGCGTCTCAACCAGTTGATGTCAACGCAATGTTTAATCAAGCTCTGAGCCGCTCAGCATCGACAGCCGCCATCAGCCCATACACCCACCGGTCCCTCCCTGCCATCACTGTCAGACCCAACCTTCACACGTCAGCGACGTCAAGCTGACGCTGACGGCCGTCACAGACATTCCCGCTCACCACAATACCCCGCTGGACAGAGGAAGCCCACACACACAACCATCCGACCACCCACCACTCTAAGCATGTCATATCCACGAAACACACATGACGTCATATGTGACATCCACACCGGTCGCTAGCACGTCATGCAGTCGGCAGCACGAGTGGAGTGTGTGCGACTCCAGGCGGCCGCGGTCTTTTCGGTACGACTCCGCACGCAGGGTACTATGTCATCAGCAGACTGCAGAGCGTGTGTAGAGCGTCACGGAGTGGGGTGCGCTCTGACTCACCGTGTGCGGTGACCTGTATGGAGGGCAGTGTGTCCGTGGGGTCCTCGTCCGACTCCTGGTTCAGCGACGGACACGACGAACTGAGTCGGGTGTAGCGCCGGTGGACCACCTGTCGACAGGGGATCCGTCAATGACTAGAGAAACACGCAGCGACTAGACACGCGGGCAGCGGCCTTGCGTACTAATTAACAGATTGCCAGCGCAAAGATAGACGTACTGAGACGCGGATATCTGCTGAAGGTGCGGGCGCATCGAAAACTGCACAGCCGCGAAACACGAACGAGGCAAAAACATATAAATGATTCGTTCCACAATGTCAACTCTATCCGGACACGCAAGACGGCAGGGACATCCAAATAACATCCAGCATGCACGCAACTGCATAGCTACACAGACACAGCAGAAATGCAGCGGTTCTGTGGGCCTGTGTCAATATGGCGGCAAAACTGAACAAATAGCGCTTATAGGTGTAGAAAATGTTCGCAGATTGCTGAAAACGCGGATTAGTTGATAAGACCATACTGTTATTTCAAAATGTAAATGTTTGAGGATAAATAAAGGAAACGTGTTATCAAATACGTCGTCACAAGTCACGGAAACTGAACTGAGTAGTTTCAATGATTCTAGCAAGGCCAGACCGACGGCGAGAACGGACATGCAGGATACTGTCATACGCCATGGGCGTTGCAGCTTGTTTTGCTAGTTGATAATAGGTTATATCAACAAAGCAAATTTCATGTTTGATGTTTTCTAGACGGAAACGCATTAATAAAAATTTGGAGCATTTTTTAAATTTTTCAATATCCAGGAAAGGTCAGGTCAAAATAAAGCAGCTTAAGACATTGCCTTCTACGAAAAGCACTTGAAAACCTGTCAAGTAGCCTTTCTAATTGATCATACGTTAGCCAAACACACAAAAATTGAAATAAATTAAGCTACAATAAAACAAAATAAAGTAACATGAAATGAAATAAAATAAAATAAAATAAAATAAAATAAAATAAAATAAAACAAAAAAAAATTAAAAAGAAAAGAAAAGCACCTACGAACACACAACAATTATCCATTCGGCACGCACTCATTCAGACCAGAGCTTACATCCAGCCAGGACGGGACGTGCATGGGAGCGCATACCAAAGGCTTCGAGCAACGGCAAACATACAACGGCTGGCGGAAAACAAACGAGTTCCGAGCAACAGCGGTTGCTAGGCGGACGCAGGCAGCGGACACGCGCGGGAGCGGGCGTCAGGGGAGTGGCAGCGGACACACGAGAGCACGCGTCTGTCTAGCAGAGCGGCAGCGCGCGGCACGCGAGTCGGTCATTCAGGTGGGCCAGCGCTGTCCTTGAGGCGCTGATCAGTCGGGTGAGTGCGTGCGCTGGACGCGGACTCCAGCCAGCGGCCGAGGCGCGTCGGAGGGTCTACACAGCGACTGCAGGCGGCAGCGGGCGGCCCCGTGTCCAGCTCGGGTGCAGGGACACACAGCCAGTCAGCAGCGAGCGGAACGACACCAAACAGACGGCATGCTACAGTCGCGCGGCGCAGCAGCAGTTCAGATCTCGCCGGCTCGGCGGCCTACCAGCGCGTTGCTGCTGTCGCGCGCCGCTGTGGATGTCACGGACTTCCAGAGCAGCACGTGGCACAGCAGTTTGACGCGTTTCCAGGGGCTGCGGCGGGCTCCGTTGACTGACAGCGGCGGCGGTGTGCGCAGTTTGGGCGGAGTCGGCGGCGAGGGCGGCGGCAGCTCGGGCGGCTGCTTGGAGCGCGGACTGAGCAGCAGCTGTGGCGGCGGCCCGCCGGTGGGCGCCGGCAGCGACAGAGGCACGGCCGTGCCGCTCCGCCACCGCTCCTGCATGGCGGGCTCCTCAGACGGGCGGCGGAGCTCAGCGGGACGCTGCGGAGCGCTCTACCGCCGGGACGGAGCGGCGGCGGCCGGCCGGCGGCGGCAGCTGCCCATCGGTGGCCACACTGTGGGGCAGACGGGCTCAGGTGGACGCCGCCGGCCGCCGAAATTCGCCCTACTTACACCCGTCAGATCACTGTGGGGTCAGGCAGGCACTGCTGTAACCACTGCAGACTGTGATATAACAGCACCCATTAGGAAAGGAATGTCTTATGCAGCTACATAGTTGGTCCACAACTAAAGCAGGTCAGCGGTAGCTGTCATCGTTTGAACAAACATGTCAAAAGGCGTAATCCCTCTTGTTCGTAATACAATATGGTAGGTGTTAATTCAAGCTTTCGTTGCGCTGGCATCAAGACATGAGAACAACAGTCAAGACGACCCAGCTGTGCTATGCAGTTTAGCATGCTATCATCCGTTTGACACCAGAGCCACCTATTGAGCGCAGGAGTAACTATGCGAGGAGCGGCGCTTCACAGTAAGCTATGCGGCACAGTATCACTGCAGGCGCTGACATTCAGTGCCATCTAGTGGCGAATGTATAACTTCTCGAACGTTGCCGGCGACTACCATTGGATGGTTGTCTTAGCAAGCAACGTCTGTTGGAATTAAACTAAACATACGCGAGTGGGCATGAGTGCATTGTCGGGTGCAATCCCGATTCGTATTTGCACACAAGTTTCGTATTTGGGCGCCAGTTTACTGCCAGAAGCCAAACAAGCCGTCAGAACCTCTGGATCTTCTCACTTTATTGGTCTCCAGTTCTTAAAACCAGTCTGATCTAATGATTCATACTATTTCTCAGCAGACCAAGCTTGGCTGATCTTTTTTATTTCAGAAACATCGGTACAAACGCATTAGAGCGACACGCATGGTCATTGGTCAGCCTGCAGCCACACAAATAGCCATGGGAAAAAGTTGATGTAAATAAAATCACTAGGGGATGTTATTTGTCGGATTAATGGGGCACACTGGCCGCCTGCCCTTACGGAGACAGTTGTCTTCACAGTAAACTCGGTTGCGTGATTTTCAACGTTTGCGGGGCGTGTGGGAAGCCTCCGTTCAGTACCCGCAGTACGATAAGGTCAGGTGAAATTGATCCAGCGCGTCGGTCATATCACCGACATCAGTTCCATCAGTGACGGCGGACACATCCCGGTCAGCTGCGAGTGATGTCACACGTCTGATGTTACCCATCATCGAAAGGTATTCAAAGCAGCGCCAAGGGCTCCAGTCTACTGTATGTACACAACTCTGGGAGGAGTAGTCTCGGCAGGTCGGATCACCTCATAATAGAACAATCCACCACTGAATTGAGTTCACTTCGGAATCGAGCAGTTCAAATCTAAATTGGGCTTTGGACCTAACGGGCTCTGGAGCGACCCTGTTTGTGCCGACCGCAGGGCCATCCAATTCGGTCGGCGCGCCCGCAGATGTATAATTGGACGACACAGTAGGCCTGGCGTTAAATGGCCAAACCGCCCCCGACACCAACATCATTATTACCCCGGCTTACGTCTCCACGGCGACTGCTGAGCTCCCAGTGAACACACCGGTCCCATAAATACACGGTCATAGAGCTACATGGAATAACATTACAGCAGGTTCTGTTGGTCAGAGCCTTCAGTCATTCTTTTTCGATACTGATATTGTTTATTGGGATTTTGATGCGGTTCGCCAGCGGTATTATGTACCCATAAAATACTGATGAATGTATTCTAATAGTTACTTTACGCAATGTATCGGCAACAGTAGATAGCAATTTAATCCAGCCCTAATGCGTTTCAAACAGAATCCGGGTGCCCCAGGCGCAGCGGTTCCGGCAAAGGTCTCCGCTAAGCATTCCCTTGTCAAAGGGCAATCAGCTTACTGGGAACGGACGTGTTTGTATGTCTGTGTGGATGTGCTTACAGCCAGGATCGAATGGCAGATAAAAGGCAATGCTCGAGTTAGTTTCGCTAAACAAACTTAAGAGCATCGTCCGACCAGAGATGCAACAACGAACCCAATACTAATTATTTCCGTAAATTCACTCATATTACTTGCGGCCATATTTCACCATGCTTCATAATTCCCAAAGGAAAAAGATCATTTCCAATTATCCAAATTTCCTGACGGTTGTAAACGAAGGGAGACTGAAACACGATCATGAGTTTTTTCGCTTACGTAAGTAATCGGACCAACTATTAACTAAGAACTATTTTCGAACAAGTCAGTTTTTTATGAAAATGTAACGATAATGCAAACATATGAGAGGTCATATGACCTTTCAAAGCAGGCACTCTCCACAAAAAGAGCACATTAGTCCCACTCACACCTCCCACACACGCTCGACACTCGCACGACCTGTAATTTGACCCCCCAGTGACCTGCACCAAGGCCGCTTAGGTAATTGCAGGCCCCAATCGAAAAGTACTACGGGACTCCTGCAAACTGCCGGGAAATTGGAACGAATCCCAAGGGGTCCAAACAGCGCCGCTATCTCACCAATGTTACTTTCAATTGCACGGCCGGTGAAATAGCTGTACACATACGTTTAGACGCACACTACAAAGCTAACCATGCAGCATTAGCTTCTCATTCACCTCGTTCTGAATACCTGCTGACAAGACCTATGTAGTAACTAAGTTGTATAAATTAACTCCAGCTTCAAAAAGTACGGCTACACGATGTAAAATATCGCTGATGTGGGGAATGACAGCCACTTTGTGATTGCAATGGGCGCGGTAGTGACCTTTACACTAATGATTGGTGAAGCAACAATTTAAAAACTAAAAATAACACAGACCGCAGCGGTGGCGCCCAGGTCACGCCACTAAAATATCTGAAGCTAATACACGTTGGTTGACCGGCAATGCAAACAGCATGGCATAACATTATGAAAGTGCATTTATAGTATTGCAGACTGGTGGCATCACCCACACATCATACCCCGTATCATGAAATCACTCCCTAGTGAAAAGCCATCCAGTTTCATATTAGATTTATATCAACATACCCTAGCTGCGTGATCAATAGGTAAAAAAACAGTCACCGTATTGGTCAACACGGACGCATCACCTCTGCTACCGTTCGGCAGAGCCGCCGTCCAGCCGGCGAGTCCGGCGCACCCCGCAGTCAATCTCACATGAAAGTCGGCCGACTGCCGGCAGCCGCAATCGCTGGCCGGCCCGATGACGCGCCTGGAGTGGGTGCAAACAGCGCCGAAATTGGAGTTCAGCCACGCGCCGCCCGGCTGATGAGCCCGGCCTCGAGTGGCGCCCGGCCCACGAATGGTTTGACCGACGGTTGATGTCGGATTCACGAATGGACTGTCCCGGGCGATGAAGGACCGTTGAGGCAGTGACGTACTAGCACGGTCGTCGTCCCAGAGACTCGCGTCTCGGCGAGCCGGGCGATGGCCAGCGATCATCGCCAGGGATCGACGGCCGCAGAGCGCCACTCGGGCGTCCATTCCGTGGTGAGACACTGCTCGTCTGGTCACTCTGAATAGCGCTTCGACCAGACCCCCGGCAGGACCGCTGCGCCGACGGCAGGGCGGGACGACAGAGTGTATCGCCCGCGGTCCGCCGGCTCCGGGCAGCCGGAGCACCGTCAGAGGAGGGGATGTTTGGTTGGGAGCGGCCGGTGGCGGCCAAGTTTACCATCGCGCCGGCCGGCAGGGGACAGACCCCGGAGCTCGGCTGCAGGGCGGGTCCGATCCGGTCCGGCTCAGCGGCGAGCCCGCCGTGAGGTGCCCGATCAGAGACTGGTGCAAGGCCAACATCGCACCAGGGCTTTGCGTCAGCACAGCGCGTTACAAACAGCACGGCACCGGCCGACCCAGCCCGCATCCCACCGGGGAGCCTCCCCGAGTCCCGACCCCGACCCAGATCCCCGCCCCGGGGAACACCCCTGCGTCAGCGCGTGCTCCGTCACCCCTACAATCCATCCCCTGGCAACGAGCGATACGCGGCCCGGCCGGCGCGCGAGCCATCTGCGAAATGGGCCACTTCTCGCACCGATAAACGTCGACCTGTGAAGCGACGCTTGTTAGGAATAGCGCTCCACCGCGTCCACGATGTGCTGTGACTAACGCCGGCAGCGAGCGGGGCGTCATCACACCGCCGGCGGCCGTCTGACATTCTGCTCCGCAAACACTGTCAGAACTCGGCCAAAACAATGGGTGGAAATAGCCGCGCGCCGAGTGAAAATAGCCACCTGTCTTCGCAGTGCGACCGCCGTTAAACGAGATACGACTGATGCAACGTTCAACAACACCGCCACGGGAGATTGTGAGGTGATACTATGCACACAACTGGTGAGATGCGTCATGACAGATGGCAAGGCCCTGAGTGAGCAGTGAAAACAAAGAGAGGATGCAGCTCGATAGATCATTTTACATATATGAACATCACACGTTCACGTTTTAACATTTTATCCCGCAAAACTTTTACATACCTTTGGCCCAGAATTCGGATCCACCATCATACATAACTACTCACCCAGCCCTTCCGGTGCCCTGCTGGCCAGCTTATGGTCACACCCCACCCCCTTCCCAGCCCCCTTCCGGGTTTGGTGGCGACTGATCTACCGGGTCTGCCGCTGAAGCGCAGGTTTACACCGCGCCCGCCCGGCTCGGCCAAACAGCTGATTCTCCGGCGAGTGAGCCGCCAACAGGAAGGGTCGACACGGCCCGGCCGGTGCGAAGGACGGGTGGCGACGCTGACCTTTCGGCAGCGCGATGCGGAACGATATGGTGGGACTGGCCCGGTGAAAACACCGGTCGAGGGAGGGTTTATACCGGCAGTGGACACTGGTATGCCGGGCGAGAGCAATACTGCAGCTGGTAGGGGTGACAGAACGCAGCTGGATGGTGCTAATGGTCGAGTACGTCAGAAACTATGAAAAACGCAACCGACTTACGGGGGACGGTACCAAAATATTGGGCTTAATTGAAGTGTCACAGCGATGGGTTAGTGATTGATCAATTTACCAAGTAACATAAGATCACGATATAGAAACGCTACGTGACCGACCTGGCCTCGGGTGAGTCTTGGGAAAATTCCGAGATAACATGCCAATA